ACTCCTTGTGGCAATCTATACAGATCTCTTCATTGGCATCTAGCTTGCCATTCAAGAATGCACTGTGGAAATTGAATACATCAATGTCCACATATTGCAGTAACATATCTCCGTATTATACGAGTGAACGGACGTGCATAATATCCCGTATGATACGGGCCAGCGGACCATGGGCCGAAGGTAGATATATCCTCGACTGTGACGGATGGGCCGGGAGTGTTATTATTCCCGATGGAGACAGGTTGGCCCAGGTGGGGAATATGTAAAGTAGATGGGTGGGCCGATGGACATGAATTTTCAATAGACGGATCGGCCGAGGTAGTTGGATATTATGTAGATGGGTGTACCAAGGTAGATATGTATCAAATAGCCGGGTATATCAAGGGTGCTTGTTATCACATAGACAGGTGGGCCCAGATATATATCATATTAGACGGGTGGGCCGACGAATTAATATTATTTTGTAGACGGGTGGGCCGACGTATTGGTATTATTTTGTAGACGAGTGGGCCGAGGGAGCGGTGAAAGATTTATTATATACGGGTGGGCCAATGGTAGACATATATTGCATAGATGGGTAGGCCGACGTAGGGGTATATAATATAAACGGTGGGCCCAGGAGAATGATAATTGTAGACATGATGGAGCTCAGCTAGTTGTATATCATGGAGGTAATAATTCAAAGTCATCTAATGATGTAGTATGGCATGGAGCCTTGCAAAGGGGTGAAGTGGAAACTCGAGCGAAGTGTACCGAGTTCCGAGACCCGGGTCTCGACAAATGAATATGTGATGTCCAACACACTTCCGATTGTCTGGTATTTCATTGAGCAATATATGATAATAGATCTTTGAAAGCCAACATCATCCAAGCCTACCAAATGCCAAATGCCAAGTTCCAACTACCGAAAATCAAGTGAAGTGTACCAATATCCGAGCCCTGACTATCAAATCCCGACAATCGACCATTGAGTCCCGACTACCGAGTCTTGAAACCCGAGTCCCAAAGCCCGAGATTTGAGTCCTGAAACCCAATGCCCGACCATTGAATCCCAACAATCGAGTATCAAGTCCTGACCAACGAGTCCCAAATATTGAGTCCCGACCATCGAGACCCAACACCCGACACCCGACACCCAACACCCAACACCCAACACCCAACACCCAACACCCGACAACCGACAACCGACACCCGAGATTCAAGACTCAAGTTCCGACTATGGAGTCCCGGATATCAAAAATCAAGTGAAGTGTACTGAGATCCGAGTCCAACCTGAAGGATTCCTTAGGCTGGACTTCCAAACCTTTGGATTTGTCCTTCCATCTCTATCCAAGCTTAAGGATTGATTCCTTAAGCTGGACCTTTGCCTTTCTGGCACTTCCTGTCTTTCCAAGACTTATGTCTACTTCCTGTTATCTCCGACTCCACCTAAGTGTAGCCTACCTCTGTTTGCTTCTACTCCAGACCTTGTCCATGGTAGCCTTTATTCTCCTGTCCTATAATCCTGTCCACTCCTGCTGACCTCCAGACCTTTGGATCTCCGGACCTTTGGATCTCCGGACATCTTACCCTTCGGATATCAAAACCTTTGGACATTGTAACCTTTGGACATCATGACCTTCAGACATCATAACCTTTGGACATCTGAACATTCAGATGGCGCAACCTTCAGACATCCTGTCCTCTGGACCACTCCTCCTATCTGATCCTGCTTTGGACTCTGTCCCTTGCAGTCTCTCCTCCATGTGCTTCCATCTAGGAAGCTTACCTTCAGAAGTCTTATCTTCGGACCCTATGCAGCAGGTGAAACTCCTCCAGAGTTTCCTGTACTTCTCTAGAAGTTTCTATACTCCTCCGGAAGGTTCCTGTGCTCATCCAGAAGTCCTCCAGCACTCCATCAGAGTAGCCAGTCTCCGGAAGTCCTTCGGACTTCATTGGATTTCATCTGGACTTCATTCTGAAATTAAGGGTATGTACTTGGGAAAGGTGCAAAATAAAATATACTGACTACCAAGTGCTGAGCACTAAGTGTCGAGTTCCAAGTTCCAAGTTCCAAGTTCCGAGTTCCGAGTTCCGAGTTCCGAGTTCCGAGTGCCAAGTGCCCCGATGCTTTCGGGCATTAACACCCAGATAGCCCTCGCTCTCAGGGGCCCGTCAGAATTTAGATCATCTCAAACGGATGTGATTTGAGTGAGATATGAGCAAAATACTATATACCGGGTGAATTTTGGCATCAGAAGTTCGATGCTTTCGGGCATTGACATGAAGATAGCCCTCAATCTCAGGGGTGTGGGAGAATTCAGATTGTCTGAAATGGATATAATTTGAGTGAGATATATGCAAAATACAATATATTGACTACTGAGTGCTGAGTACCAAGTGCCGAGTGCCAAGTGCAGAGTGCCCCAATGCTTTCAGGCATTAACACCCAGATAGCCCATGCTCTCAGGGGCCCATCAGAATTTAGATCATCTCAAACAGATGTGATTTAATGTGTCCCAAGTGCTGAGTGCCGAGTCCCAAGTGCTGAGTGCCGAGTGCTGAGTTCCGAGTTCCGAGTTCCGAGTTCCGAGTTCCGAGTTCCGAGTTCCGAGTTCCGAGTTCCAAGTTCCAAGTGCCGAGTTCCGAGTGCCGAGTTCCGAGTGCCGAGTTCCGAGTGCCGAGTGCCCCGATGCTTTCGGGTATTGACACCCAGATAGCCCTCGCTCTCAGGGACCTGTCAGAATTTAGATCATCTCAAATGGATGTGATTTGAGTGAGATATGAACAGAATACTATATACCAGGTGAATTTTGGCATCAGAAGTTCGATGCTTTCGATGTTTTTGATGTCTGGTCTTGATGCTTTCGAGCATTAATATGTAGATAGCCCTTGATCTCAGGGGTGTGGCGGAATTCACATTGTCTCAAATGGATATAATTTGAGTGAGATATTTGCAAAATACTATGTATATACTGACTACCGAGTGCTGAGTGCCGAGTTCCGAGTGCCGAGTTCCGAGTGCCGAGTGCCCCGATGCTTTCGGGTATTAACACCCAGATAGCCCTCGCTCTCAGGGACCCGTCAGAATTTAGATCATCTCAACGGATATAATTTGAGTGAGATATTTGCAAAATACTATGTATATACTGACTACCGAGTGCTGAGTGCTGAGTTCCGAGTGCCGAGTTCCGAGCGCCGAGTGCCCCGATGCTTTCGGGTATTAACACCCAGATAGCCCTCGCTCTCAGGGACCCGTCAGAATTTAGATCATCTCAAACGGATATAATTTGAGTGAGATATTTGCAAAATACTATGTATATACTGACTACCGAGTGCTGAGTGCCGAGTTCCGAGTGCCGAGTGCCCCGATGCTTTCGGGTATTAACACCCAGATAGCCCTCGCTCTCAGGGACCTGTCAAAATTTAGATCATCTCAAATGGATGTGATTTGAGTGAGATATGAATAAAAGTACTATATACCGGGTGAATTTCAGCATCAGAAGTTTGATGCTTTCGATGTTTTTGATGTCGGGTCTTGATGCTTTTGGGCATTAACATGTAGATAGCCCTTGATCTCAGGGGTGTGGCAGAATTCACATTGTCTCAAATGGATATAATTTGAGTGAGATATTTGCAAAATACTATGTATATACTGACTACCGAGTGCTGAGTGCCGAGTTCTGAGTGCCAAATGAATACCACACACTGACTACCGAGGGCTGAGTACCAAGTGCCGAGTGCTGAGTGCCGAGTTCCAAGTTCCGAGTTCCGAGTGCCAAGTACCCCCGATGCTTTCGGGTATTAACACCCAGATAGCCCACGCTCTCAGGGACCCGTCAGAATTTAGATCATCTCAAACGGATGTGATTTGAGTGAGATATAAATAAAATACTATATACCGGGTGAATTTTGGCATCAGAAGTTCGATGCTTTCGATGTTTTTAATGTCAGGCTCTTGATGCTTTCGGGCATTGACATGCAGATAGCCCTAGATCTCAGGGATTCATCAGAATTTAGATAGTCTTAAATAGATATGATTTGAGTGAGATATATGCACAATCCAAGATACAGGGTGAATGAGTCCCGAGTGTTGAGTGCCAAGTGCTGAGTTCTGAGTTCTGAGTTCCGAGTGCCGAGTGCCGAGTGCTGAGTGCCCTGATGCGTTCAGGCATTCAATCACTGTCAGGAGGTGTTCCCTCATCCACCTCAGTGCCTTCAGTGTTGCAATCAGCTTTTCTGCTGTGTGCTGAGTGCCGAGTGCCGAGTTCCGAGTGCCCCGATGCTTTCGGGTATTAACACCCAGATAGCCCTCGCTCTCAGGGACCCGTCAGAATTGAGATCATCTCAAACGGATGTGATTTGAGTGAGATATGAACAGAATACTATATGCCGGGTGAATGTTGGCATCAGAAGTTCGATGCTTTCGATGTTATTGATGTCGGGTCTTGATGCTTTCAGGCATGAACATGTAGATAGCCCTCAATCTCAGGGGTGTGGCAGAATTCACATTGTCTCAAACAGATATAATTTGAGTGAGATATTTGCAAAATACTATGTATATACTGACTACCGAGTGCTGAGTGCTGAGTTTTGAGTTCCGAGTTCCGAAGTGCCAAGTGCCGAGTTCCGAGTGCCGAGTTCCGAGTGCGAGTTCCGAGTGCCGAGTGCCCCGAGGCCTTCGGGTATTAACATCCAGATAGCCCACGCTCTCAGGGGCCCATCAGAATTTAGATCATCTTAAACGGATGTGATTTGAGTGAGATATGAGCAAAATACTATATACCAAGTGAATTTCACCATCAGAAGTTTGATGCTTTTGATGTTATTGATATCAAGCCTCGATGCCTTCAGGCATTGACATGCAGATAGCCCTAGATCTCACGGGTCTGGCAGAATTTAGCCCATCCCAAATGGATAAGAGTTGAGTGAGATATGAGCAAAATCCCATATACTGTGTGTATTTCAGCATTGTAAGGTCAATGCTTTCCATGTTTGCAATGTCTAGCCTCAATGCATTCAGGCATTCACAAGCAGATAGAACTTGATCTCAGGGGCCTGTCACAATTCAGATCGTCTCACACGGATAAGACTTGAGTGAGATATGAGCAAAATATTATATATCAGGTGATTTTGATGTCAGGCCTTGCACCAAGGGTAAGCACATAGCACAACAGGAATAAATCCTGTTGTCCTAGTATCCTTATATATTGCATATACTATCAAAGGGATGTTGGGGATCATATTTTGCCTCAAACAGACATGATTTGAGGGAGATATGAGCAAAATACAATTTATTGGGTGTGTCTGAGCTTCGCAGGTTCAATGTTTTTGTTGTCAGCCTTGTGTGGGAAAAATTCTAAAACATCAGGAGAAACATAAAAACACATCATCAGGGACTGCATCAGGTTTGCTATGATCACACCTATGTATAATATGATAGATTGGCTTCCAGTGTACTGTTCCAGTCCCTGAAACAGTATCTGTCAGTGGTATGTATCTCTAAATACAAAAAAACTCGAAATTCAAGGCAATCACTGTGCACTGGTGCAAGAAAGTTACAATCACAAGATATATACATCAGCAAAATATGATTTTGCCACACGGTTACCAGAAGGTCACAAGCTTTGACAGTGCTTACTAGACTAAGGATATGATTGTCTTAACTCAATAGTCTTAACTTGCTAGGCATAATATAAGCTTTCTTAATAACCATGACTGTCATATCTTCCATAATAATCCTAACCCTCACAGCTTATGTATTATGTAGTAATCAACAATCATATTAGACTATCAAGTGAAGACTATCGTGTAATGACTATCAAGTTAAGACTACTGTATTTTATTCTAAGTCTGTACAATAGACCTGTGATACTTGATGAGTGTCAGCCTGAACAGTATATTAAAGATCACACTATCATACTACACATAGGTATGACTATTGAAGACATGATGTAGTGCCTTATGATGTGTTTTTATGTGTCTCCTGATGTGTTGAGAATGTCCTACATTACCTCATATGTCCATGTGAGGCCATATGAATTCTGTGAACTCCTGACATTAAGGGCTATCCATCTGGGTGGTAATGCCCAAAAGCATCGGGACACTCAGCACTCGGAAGGCACTTGGCACTTGGCACTCGGCACTTGGTACTCAGCACTTGGTAGTCAGTATATGGGATTTTGCATATATCTCACTCAAATTATATCTGTTTCAGACAATCTGAATTTTACCACACCCCTGAGATCGAGGGCTATCTACATGTCAATACCCAAAAGCATTGAGACCCGACATCAAAAACATCGAAAGCATTGAACTTCTGATGCCAAAATTCACCCGGTATATAGTATTTTGTTCATATCTCGCTCAAATCACATCCGTTTGAGATGATCTAAATTCTGACAGGCCCTTGAGAGTGAGGGTGATCTGGGTGTCAATACCCGAAAGCATCGGGGCACTCGGCACTCGGCACTCGGAAACTCGGCACTCCGGCACTTGGCACTCGGAACTCAGAACTCAGACCTTGGCACTCAGCACTCGGTAGTCAGTAAATACATAGTATTTTGCAAATATCTCACTCAAATTATATCTGTTTGAGACAATGTGAGTTCTGCCACACCCCTGAGATCAAGGGCTATCTACATATTAATGCTCGAAAGCATCAAGACCAGACATCAAAAACATCGAAAGCATCGAACTTCTGATGCCAAAATTCACCCGGTATATAGTATTCTGTTCATATCTCACTCAAATCACATCCATTTGAGATGATCTAAATTCTGATGGGTCCCTGAGAGCGAGGGCGATCTGGGTGTTAATGCCCGAAAGCATCGGGGGCACTCGGAACTCGGAACTCGGCACTCGGCACTCAGAACTCAGCACTCGGCACTCAGCACTTGGGACTCGGCACTCAGCACTCGGAACTCGGAACTCGAACTCGGCACTCAGAACTCGGCACTCAGCACTCGGTAGTCAGTATAGTTTGCAAATATCTCACTCAAATTATATCTGTTTGAGACAATGTGAGTTCTGCCACACCCCTGAGATCAAGGGCTATCTACATATTAATGCTCGAAAGCATCAAGACCAGACATCAAAAACATCGAAAGCATCGAACTTCTGATGCCAAAATTCACCCGGTATATAGAATTTGTTCATATCTCACTCAAATCACATCCGTTTGAGATGATCTAAATTCTGACGGGCCCCTGAGAGCGAGGGCTTTTAATACCCGAAAGCATCGGGTCACTCGGCACTCGGCACTCGGCACTCGGAACTCGGAACTCGGAACTCGGTTCTCTGCACTTGGCACTTGGTACTCAGCACTCGGTAGTCAGTGTGTGGTATTTTGCATATATCTCACTCAAATTATATCTGTTTGAGACAATGTGAGTTCTGCCACACCCCTGAGATCGAGGGCTATCTACATGTTAATGCCCGAAAGCATCAAGACCCGACATCAAAAACATCGAAAGCATCAAACTTCCAATGCTGAAATTCACCCGGTATATAGTATTTTGCTCATATCTCACTCAAATCACATCTGTTTGAGATGATCTAAATTCTGACAGGCCCCTGAGGACGAGGGCTATCTGGGTGTTAATACCCGAAAGCATCGGGGCACTCGGAACTCGGAACTCGGAACTCGGCACTCGGCACTCAGAACTCAGCACTCGGCACTCAGCACTTGGGACTCATTAAATCACATCTGTTTGAGATGATCTAAATTCTGATGGGCCCCTGAGAGCATGGGCTATCTGGGTGTTAATGCCCGAAAGCATCAGGGCACTCTGCACTTGGCACTCAGCACTTGGTACTCAGCACTCAGTAGTCAATATATAGTATTTGCATATATCTCACTTGAAATTCACCCGGTATATAGTATTTTGTTCATATCTCACTCAAATCACATCTGTTTGAGATGATCTAAATTCTGACGGGCCCCTGAGTGTGAGGGCTATCTGTGTGTTAATACCCGAAAGCATCGGGGCACTCGGCACTCGGCACTCGGAACTCAGTTCTCGGCACTTGGCACTTGGCACTCAGCACTCGGTAGTCAGTGTGTGGTATTTTGCATATATCTCACTCAAATTATATCCGTTTGAGACAATGTAAATTCTGCCACACCCCTGAGATCAAGGGCTATCTACATGTTAATGCCTGAAAGCATCAAGACCCAACATCAAAAACATCGAAAGCATCAAACTTCCAATGCTGAAATTCACCCGGTATATAGTATTTTATTCATATCTCACTCAAATCACATCTGTTTGAGATGATCTAAATTCTGACAGGCCCCTGAGAGCGAGGGCTATCTGGGTGTTAATACCCGGAAGCATCGGGGCACTCGGCACTCGGAACTCGGCACTTGGCACTTGGTACTCAGCACTCGGTAGTCAGTGTGTGGTATTTTGCATATATCTCACTCAAATTATATCTGTTTCAGACAATCTAAATTTTGCCACACCCCTGAGATCGAGGGCTATCTACATGTCAATGCCCAAAAGCATCGAGACCCGACATCAATAACATCGAAAGCATTGAACTTCTGATGCCAACATTCACCCGGTATATAGTATTCTGTTCATATCTCACTCAAATCACATCCGTTTGAGATGATCTAAATTCTGACGGGCCCTTGAGAGTGACGGCTATCTGGGTGTCAATACCCGAAAGCATCGGGGCACTCGGAACTCGGAACTCGGCACTCAGCACACGGCAGAAAGCTTGATTGCAACACTGATGGCACTGAGGTGGATGAGGGAACACCTCCTGACAGTGATTGAATGCCTGAACGCATCGGGGCACTCGCACTCGGCACTCGGCACTCGGCACTCGGCACTCGGCACTCGGCACTCGGCACTCGGCACTCAGTACTTGGTACTTGGTAGTCAGTACTCGGTGATTCAAGTCTCGAGACTCGAGACTTGTGATTCACAAGTCAAAATTTGACACTAATGTGTAGTATCTTATGTATTTCTGTACTCATTTCACTGACTACCGAGTGCCGAATCTCAGGTCTTGGGTATCAGGTCTCGGTACTCGGTACTCGGTATTTCCAGATGACAAAAATGTATATCATCTTCAATTTGAATTTTCTTAACTCGTAAAAATGTATGACTTTCCAGTTGGGTTTTGAATTTTGAGTTTTGAGTCTCTTGAGTCCCGAGTCTGGGTGTTCAGGGCTCGGGTTTCAGGTTTCAGGTTTCAGGTTTCAGGTTTTGGGTTTTGGGTTTTGGGTTTTAGTACTTGGTACTTGATATTACCCGATGTCGGCCCACCCGTCTATCTAATATGACCCCACGTCGGCCCACCTGTCTATGTAATAAATAATTCACCTCACCCTCGGCCCACCCGTCTATCTAATATTACCCCACATCGGCCCACCCGTCTATGTAATAAATAATTCACCCCACCCTTGGCTCACCCGTCTATCTAATATTTCCCTACATCGGCCCACCTGTCTATCTAATAAATATTTCACCGCTCCCTCGGCCCATCCGTCTACAAAATAATACTGATACGTCGGCCCACCCGTCTATATAATACTATTTGCTATACATCTCTCCTCAGGTCTATAATATATGTCAATCCTACTCTACATATTACCCACATGGGCCCACCCATCTCCATAATAATATTTCTCCCGGCCCATCTGCTATCATCGATGATATATATAACATCAGCATAGATGGGGCCCACCCGTCTCCATCGGAAATAATATTCCTCCCGGCCCACCCGTCAACATCGGGTATATACATAACATCGGCCCATAATCCGCTGGCCCGTATTACACGGGATATTATGTAGGTCGGGTGACCCATATAATACGGGATTTGTCACTGAAGGGGCTCCCAAATTGTGATGTCAATAAAGTATTAATAAATGCAGGGAATGGACGTACCAGATGTGACTTTGGTCATTCAGTGGCGAGCGTCGTGCAGGTTGTCTGCCATTTGGCAGTGGTTTGGTCGTGCAGCCAGAGACCGCACGCTGGAAGGGACTGCGTTGCTGTTCGCAGAAAAAGAGTATTTCGACGATATACGTGAAGATAAGCGTAAGCGTCAGGAGCGCAAAAAGAAAGCAACAAATGCACCAGATAACCAACCGGCTGCCAAATGCTGTGTAATTAATAGTTTGACTGCTATTGATGTTGCGCACCTGGAAGGAGAGGATAGTGCCCAGTCTACCAATAATACTAGTGGCTCAGCAGCAAACTCACCTAAGGTTATAATTACTGATGCACAGTTGAGGGATTTAATAAAACCGGCAAGCACATTGGAGAGGTTATCAAGGCAGAAGAGAGAGAATGAACTGGACCGAGCAATGGACTTGTTGATCAACGCTGATTATTGTGGCGTTGGGTGTCGTCGGAAGGTGTTTAATATCCAATTTGACAACGGATCAGCAGGTGCGACTTTCCTATACTGTATTAATAATTGCAATAATATTTTATAGATTCAAGTCACCTTACATGCGACCCATCAGATAGTAAGGAAGGCTGCTCACATTGCGCTCCCGTACTTCCTAAAGTGTGCTGTGACATTCATCACCCTTCAGCATTCTCGTCATTTGATCCCATCATTGTCCCTCAACCACCCAGACTTCCCATCCGCTCTAGACTTGCAAAACATACAATGGGCCCACAGGAGCACAAACTATGCGAGGCACTGGGCGCTCACACCTTATTGACCTCTGTCCAACTGTTGTAATGGGCGACTCAGTCCTTGACCGGATTGTTGACTGCACCCATTTTGAGAAGATTAAGATTGTTGAGGATCTCCGCAAGGAAACACATTGGCCTGTCAATGATGATCTGGCCAGGGAGGTGATTTCTCTAATCCACCACATCATTCCAATTTCACTCTACACCACTGCCCCTCTACAACAGCGCCCTCTATCTACCACCGCACTAAACAATGGGTCAGCTCAACATCCAGTCCTTGCTCCCCCCAATGGCATGAGAAAGGTGTCAAAATGCAGCGCTTGCGGCCAGCCTGGCCATCACAGTAAGTTTTTGCATTGTTTCTCCTTATATTTGCTGACCTTTTGACCAGAACGTGGGCGTGTTTGTCCCATGCACCCATCGAGGACATCTTCTGCAGCTGGGAAGGAGAATGAAGTTAAATCCGAGCGTCTTGCAAGAATGGTGAATTCTGATAATCAAGTGCAGAGCACATCAAATCCGAACTCTCAGCGTCTTGCAGGAATGGTGAATTCTGATAATCAAGCGCAGAGCACATCGAATTCGAACTCTCAGCGTCTTGCAGGAACGGTGAATTCTGATAATCAAGTGCAGAGTGTTGGTCAACCGTAATATTTACTCATCATATATCTTACTTACTACCAGACTAATTCAATCGCAACATCATCGACTGATGGATGCTCATCCTCACCTTCCCTAATAGCAGCTTCTTGCCCTCCATCTTCGTTATCTACGCTATTCTTTTCCATCAACTCCTGTCCCTTGGCAAGGACTTCAGGGATACTGTAATGGCTTCCGCGCCCCTTTACTACTTCGTTTGAGGAGTGTTTTCTCATGTGTCTGCATAGGACTTGGAACATTTTTGACATATCTGCCTCTGCGTGTTTAGTCGTTTGTTGAACATGCAGAAAGTCATTCTGGAACATTGTATGCAAGTTCCGGTATATCTGAATGAGTGGAGACTCCATTATAATCCTCGAAACAGTGTGGTTTGATCCTTTTCCTCCATTGGTAACCTGTGATTTTTGTTTACTGACTTGCATTTTTAATAGTGACAAGGGACGCGCACCTTTGTGAAAAGGTTATTCAATTCAACGCACCAGTCAACCGCTCGAAACTTTCCTTTCTTCCCGGTTGGATTGACCATGATGTGGTAGTGAACAGCCCGTCTGCCGATTGTAAGTCTTGAGTAGATGAAGATGTTTCATAATGCTTACTTCAATCCTTCGGGATACATGAAATGCACTTTGCACAGGAAGTCTGTCATAGCGTTTGCATATTTATGTTTTCCTGTGGCCTTAAACATTGGGATCAACGTCACAAGGCAAGTCTCAACCCGTCCAATGTCACCGATATTCATTGCATATGACAGCTCCTCATATATAAGCACGTACTTGTTCAAGAGGAGTCCATTTTCATATTGGACATCACGTTGAGCTGCCGGTGCACGTCGCATGCGCCAAAGTTGGTGACCTGCAATGTAGTTACGAGCAAGGGTGTGTGCCATTGCTTTGATGTCTTTCCATGTTGATTCTGATCCTGCAAATTCCTCCAGACTTGTCCACTTCGTGTCACCTTTCCCAGCCTCGACTCTCCAACAATCAAGGCGACAACAAATACTGTCGTGCATGATCAGTTCGTGCATACAATGGAACCCCGGCTTTGATCCATAGTGGCCGGTTTCCCTTGGCCGCGAGATACCTACATCTTGCATGAGACTGGTTTCATCTAGTCGTGCTGCATTGGGCTGCAGGAATATCCGCCAAATTGCATCTGCGGCCGCCATCTTCAAATGGAAAAGACCGGGGACAAAGACAACATGTTGTAAACGGTCCCATGGTGTGTTTTCAATTCCTCGACGCTGCTGCGCAGACTGAAGGCGTTCCCCCATCCCAAGGTTACCATGAAATAGAACTACATACTCTGAGATGTCGGGCATCCCTGGATCATTGATGGCTGCAGGATCTCCGATTCCGCCCTGCTCGAGCAGGTTAACGACACTTTGTATATTGCCTGTAACGGTGGAATTACTGACATCCATTGCAGATGTAGCAATGATTGGCGTTTTGATGACAGGGATGGCTTCAATGGCCTCAGGTTCGTGAAGTTGGTTATGGAATTGAGAAAAGTATGGAGGGCCATATGAGACGAGGTCCGAGAGAAACTTCCACGAATTAAATCTATCGTGACGGGTAAGATCTGCTTCATCTGGTGTGTCCTTGTGAAGACTGAGCAGATCTGTCCATCCCTTCTTTGGTGGCAGTTCTGCTTGGGTATTAAATGGTGACAGCTTCCACAATTCTTCAGAACACCTAAGGTCTTCCTTGGAGATGTTGTGCTGTGTCAGAAATTTACGAAAGCAGTTGCAATCAGCTATGTTTAGATGTCATTGAAATGTGTGCTGAAATAATAAAGTAATGTCCCTGGCTGAGTTTCAATGTATTGCAAGGATTTGTAAGCTTATGATAATCGATGACAAGCATATGTGTCAACGCCTGATGTGCCTGCCGGCTCTTTCTTTCTTCAATCTTGAAGTTTCTGAATCCAACCTCTGTAATTGTGTACCCAAATGGCTCCCGAGCGCTCAAAACTGTGTGAAATATGCGACCAAAATATCAAACCAAAAGGCTGGACTACTCATCGAAAAGCCTGCAAGATACGTGCGGATAAGAGACGTTGAGACCAGGTTATCGTAGATGCTATTCGGAAAGAGAAAGGTAAGAGCTCTTGGACTTCATACTGCGGTGTCGAAGCTGACACTATTACAACATCCAGCAGCAATCGAGGGGCGAAGCACAGCCCTGAATCAACCTAATAACCATAGGTCCAATGTATCTGCCGCACAAAGTACAGTATCCGTTTAATTTCTTGTAATATGTCACGCTCACTAGCTCTCTCAGTTGAAAACAGAAATCCTCCTGACCTCACGCATGGTCCTGACGCAGACTTTGATTATGGCAGCACGATTGGTGAGTCTCACAGGCGTTTTCATCAATCTCGCTATTAGTATTGACACTATCGAATTCCAGATGTTACTGTAATTGAACCTGAACCTGTCGACGCACACACATTCCCAGCCTTTGCACGTGATGACATCAAGGTCGAACACCATCCAAACAGCAGCATCAAGACTACGGTTCACTCATTTGAGACATTCAAGTGTCATCCAGCTCCCTCTGTGGTCCCACCTGATAGACAGCCTTGGTATCCATTCCAATCTAGGCTCGAATTCAAAGTTGCCGAGATCGCACTCGAGGCTGCGCTAAACAATGAGCAGACTGATCAGCTCATCAAGATCTGTCAACAATGCGCCATCGGGAAGGATAAGTTTACATTTTTTAACCATAAAGATATTCATAACAAGTGGGAAGCAGCATCTCACCGCATTACAAAGGTGATTTAATTTTCATGATTAGCATCATAATTTAACCTCGTTCAAAGCGCAGTTCACCAAAGAAGTGATTTCAGTACCTTACGATGGCAAATTGTGGGACTTTGATGTGCACTACCGGGATCTTTGGGAGTTCGCTACTGATCTACTTGGGGACCCCAGCTTATTTCCACACTTCACATTTGATGCACAACACTTGTCTAAGTTCGATGGCGAAATGTTCGTCCGCTTTGTAGACGAGCCGTTCACTGTGCAGGACTTCTGGGATATCCAAGTACGTATTGATACATAGTGTTTTTGGCCCCTTTTTATTCTATTTTAATTGTTGTAGTCGCGACTTCCACCAGGTGGCAAGCCACTTGCTTTCATTTTGTACGCTGATAAAATGAAGCTGTCGTCATTTGGGACTGCCAAGGGCTATCCAGTTGTCGCTAGAATAGCAAATCTACCTACGGACATTCGAAACGGACGAGGTATAGGTAGTGGCTACGTGGTAGGATGGCTGCCGATTGTATGGTCTGATGATTGCCTCATTAAATTGACACTAATGTTCGGATAGGTGAAAGAAGATAAAGACTATGCGGAAAAGTCTAGTTGGGTCAAAAATACTGTTTGGCATAGTTTGTTTGCGCACATAATCTCTTCGCTAGCTTCCAAATCACGAACAGGACAATGGTATCAGTGTATTGACGGTGTTCAACGCTGGTTCTTCCTTTGTGTGATCATTTTATCAGCTGATTATGAAGAACAGTTAGTACTATATTGTTTTTGCCTATAGCGCTTAGTTTTCCTACTAATGATGTATTACTACAGGTGTGTCATCTCACTTATTCGAGGGATCATGAGTCTTTGGCTGTGTCCCATTTGCCTTGTTCCTTGCGACGAACTTTGGGACACCTCTAAATCATATCCCCGTCGAATGTCAGATCAATCGCAAGCCATTGTAGCGACTGCATGAGGAAAAGACACTGTTGAGGAAAAGGATGAGATTTTGAAAGAATATGGACTGCGCGATGTTGATGTAAGTTCTCTGAATCGTCTCGATGTGCGAAGGTCTAAAATTTATTTCTAGAATTCATTATGGGCTGTACGATACACTGATGTCCATCGAGCTCTGTCACACGACCGTATGCATAACGGCGGGCTTTGGTCGCACCATCTATGGGTCAAACTACAGAAATGTGTTGTTAGTCTCGGAAGGTCAAAGGTATCTGCAGTCGACAAGATGTACATTCTTTTTGCGCTACTACGTGCGACCCTTCTCTAACAATTGTATCTAAGGTTTGAACAATTTTCACACTGGCAGAATTTTAAGCACCCAAACCAGGTTATGGGCGTAACGTTTGCAGACAGCTCCATGCATGAAGACATCTCAAAAGTATGTGATTCAATTAACACAGTTGTCTTGTACTAACTGTTTTGTTCATAGTTAATACTATATGCTACACATGACATTCTGACAGAACAAGACTCCCCACTTGGCTACCTGTTACTTCGATGCATACACCTTTATCTCGAAATCGACATATATGCCGCTTTCGAGGTCCACACCACAAATACTATTAATGAAGGGAGAAGTGCTGTCCAAGCTTTCACAGCGCTTATGAAGGTACGTTTCATCATATTTCATTTTAGCAACTACATAATAGGTTGACATTGTAATAGCAATATATCGCGGAAACCGTCGATGAGAACGACAAGGGCTGGAGCTTTCCGAAAATGCACATGATCATCCACATTTTCGACGATATAGAGGCTAAAGGTGCTACAAGGAACTACAACGCCAAACCAAATGAGCAGATGCATGGGCCATTGAAGAACTCGTATCAACGCCAGACCAACTTCAAGGACTTTGCAGAACAGGTGAGGCGCACTAGTACCAACCTCTATCATTCCCTACTGAATGTGTATTATACTTTATATTAGATCCTTCGGATTAATCACTGGCTACTCGTCGAGCCCCTTCAGTGACAAATCCCGTATTATACGGGTCACCCGACCTACATAATATCCCGTGTAATATGGGCCAGCGTATTATGGGCCGATGTTATGTATATTCCCGATGTTGACGGGTGGGCCAGGAGGCATATTATTTCCGATGGAGACGGGTGGGCCCATCTATGCTGATGTTATATATATCATCGATGATAGCAGATGGGCCGGGAGAAATATTATTATGGAGATGGGTGGGCCCATGTGGGTAATATGTAGAGTAGGATTGACATATATTATAGACCTGAGGAGAGATGTATAGCAAATAGTATTATATAGACGTGTGGGCCGACGTATTAGTATTATTTTGTAGACGGATGGGCCGAGGGAGCGGTGAAATATTTATTAGATAGACGGGTGGGCCGATGTGGGGTAATATCAGATAGACGGGTGGGCCGAGGGTGAGGGGAATTATTTATTACATAGACGGGTTGGCCGATGTGGGGTAATATTAGATAGACGGGTGGGCTGAGGGTGAGGTGAGTTATTTATTAGATAGACGGGTGGGCCGACGTGGGGTAATAATAGATAGACGGGTGGGCCGAGGGTGAGGGGAATTATTCATTACATAGACGGGTTGGCCGACGTGGGGTAATATCAGATAGATGGGTTGGCCGATGTGGGGTAATATTAGATAGACAGGTGGGCTGAGGGTGAGGTGAGTTATTTATTAGATAGACGGGTGGGCCGACGTGGGGAATTCTACATAGATGGGTGGGCCGACGTCAGGTAATATCAGATAGACGGGTGGGCCAAGGGTGAGGTGAATTATTTATTAGATAGACGGGTGGGCCCAGATATGTATCATATAGACAGATAGGCCTAGGTATTGTACATTTTTACGAGTTTCAAGTCTCGAGTTAAGAAAATTCAAATTTAAGATGATATACATTTTTGTTGTCATGAAATACCGAGAACCGAGACCCGAGATTCGGCACTCGGTAGTCGGTGAAATGAGTACAGGAATACTTAAGATAATACACATTGTTCTCAGAAATCACAAGTTTCAAATTTCGATTTGTGAATTGAGTCTCAAGTCTCGAGACTCGAATCACCGAGTACCAAGTACCGAGTACCGAGTACCGAGTACCGAGTACCGAGTACTGAGTACCGAGTACCGACACCCGATACCTGACACCTGGAATTCGGCACTCGGCATGTAAGAGAGTTGAGTTTGACATGAGCTAAGATTTTGTTTCAAAACATAAAAGCACTCATAAAAATAAAATAAGCAATAAGTGACAAGAATAACATCTGAAGTGAATGAACATGATGATTATAATTGATTGTGGCAATGAGGGGAGTTGAACGGCAGAGCAGCTTCCTGGCTAAATCCTGCACAGCATCGCAACAGGGACCAAGTTACCACAACACTATCCAGCTAATAATGCACAATCGATTTTCACTTCTGCTGCCACCCATTTTTGTCGTTTTGAAATACTGAGACCCAAGACCCGAGACCTGAGATTCGGCACTTGGTAGTCGGTGAAATGAGTACAGAAATACATAAGATAATACACATTGTTCTCAGAAATCACAAGTTTCAAATGTCGATTTGTAAATCACGGGTCACAAGTCTCGAGACTCGAATCACTGAGTACCGAGTACCGAGAACCGAGTACCAAGATTGACAGGAATCGGACCTGTGGATGGGGGGGCAGCAGTTGGGAGATCGAAGGTCTGGTCGCCTAAGGCGTTCCAGGCGAGGACCTTGGGGTACCAGGTGTGCCTAAGAATGTGAGGATCGTCATACCCGATGGAGTGCCAGTCTGACCAGACCTTGGGAACCATGTTCCGAATGCGCTGGAGTTCTTTGGAGCATGAAATGATGAGGCCGGGAATAGGACCATCCCCGGACCCATACTCCTTGGCTACATCAGACTACCAAGATGTTAGAGAAGAAAAAGCACCCAAAACAAAATACATACCACAAGTGTAGCAACCTGTTTTCCCAAAGCCGAGTGGCTGGGACCCAGGGGAATCTGCCGGGCGGCACTGATGATGGCCATGATCTGGGCAGCGGATGCCTTGAGATGGGTCAAAGAGTTGTCAACTGGAGTGGACATGATGAGTGGGTTGAGAGATTTAAAGATCTTGAAATCAGATTGAAATCAGTTATCAGAAAGATGAAGTTTCAAACAAACAAGACATTTGATGGGCGATCCACAAAATCGTTTATTGTTTGTGTTTGTTTGGTCGTGGTTCAACTTTTGGCAATTGCTGGCTTTGTGTTGAACTTCGAAGTTTTTTAGATCATCAGTCAATCAGTCCACCAATTCTCCACACATGAGTTCCCATCCAGCCGTTAGATTTAATGACCCACCAGTGACCGACTATAATTCTATGGATGTGGATGACTCATCTATGGCCCAGGCATCACTAGGTATGTTGTATTCTTATCATGCCTTATCTATTCACCGGGTATCCTTTAGATGACTTAGATGACTGATACCTCGGGCCGGATGATGACATAGAATATGATTCTATGTCATCCGGACCCCCGGATGCGTCGGCTGCAATACCCGGTATGACTATACATTACTGATGACCTGGGATCACCATGCATGCTAACTTCACCCTTGAAGATCAATCACATCCGGGTCAAGCTGATGATGCCAGCTGTCTCATTGATCCAGACTTGTACCTCAGGCCTGAGGATGATGTCATTGATGTTGATGAGTTGCTGGACTCTGCTGATCCTCCCACTTTTGCTCCGGCTACCTCAGAGGTGTCTATTTCATGTGCGTCCATTCATTCTAGACCATTATGGAGACTGATCTTATCTCCCAAGCCGACAAATCATCTACCGAACTCCCTGGAGACCAGCCGGAGCTCAATATTGAGGATGTATGGTTGATGGTCCGGGAGCTCCATCCTTTCGGAAAATACCAACACCCAGAATGTGAGTATCTGAAAGCAGAGCATTTATCTTTGAGCTAATCTTTCTGGAAGACCAATCCGTCCAAGATTGACTCCATGACTACAAACGCCGTACTGGAGGTCTTCCTGACCCTTCCATCCAACAACTAATCGAGGCCGAGCGTCCATTCCAAACTGCTTGGGCAGAAACATCTGACAAACTGAAAAAAGCTGATGCAGACCTGCAGAGGTTGCAAAGAGTTGAACAGATGAGCATTGAAATGCTCAAGGTAGTAGATTCCATGATTGAACACTTTGAAGAACAACTGACCATGTACATAAATTACTGCATTGCAACCTGTGAATTTTCATGGACATCCCCACATCATGTACACGACCGAATTTTTCAATACATGTCCCTGGGTGTCGAACGGGACTCGATACACGATGGTCGGGATTCAATAATTGGGACTCAACACTCGGGACTCGATAGTCGGGACTTGATGTTTGATATTTGGGAGTTGATAATCGGGACTCAACACTCGGCACTCGATATTTGGGACTCGATGTTCGATGCTTGGGACTTGACGCTCAATAGTCGGGACTCGGTGTTTGACGAATCTCGGGGTTCGGGACTTGAGGTTCGATAGTCGGGATTCAATGTTTGTGACTCAATAGTCGGGACTCAATAATTGATATTCACTAGTGGGGACTCTGCATATCATATTAGGTCAGATATATGAAAGTTACACATTGACATGTAAATACAAGCAGGTAATGGCAGGTAGTGTAGTATCAGCCCATTACTTCTTTCCCCATTTCCCAGAATCGGATTGTGGCACATCCACGGACATCAGGACAGCTGCTATGTCCGATATGCGTCGAATTTTATCGAAGGCATCGGTCGGATTGATGGAGAGATCATGGAGACCCTATGATCACGTCTCAACCTGATTTCCCCTGCTGCTCGGGGAATGTCATCCCCGCATCGAAAGGAATGTCTCGATTATCAGATGAATGATTCCAATTTCTGCAATATGATCCGCATGAAAAGGACCCTTTGCCGAAAATACAAGCAGGCGAAGAATGGCATTGCCGAAAGTGAAAAGGCTTTTGACATACTCAATGAAGCAGCACCTGGCGATTCAAAGACAGAGTGGCTAGCCAGCGAGAGGGATCGCTCAGTCCAGCAGAATAAATAATCCTGCGGCTATGGATGTATATGAGATTAATATCAAGAAGGGTTAGTTGACTTTGTCTCCATCAAAGTCTGAATTAATTTTGCATTCAGCACCGAGCAAAAAGGAGATCGAGCTTAGGCTACTAGAGGAGGGTAATGCCCGAAATGCAGCACCTGCTCGCAGGTCTGTGGCGACATGGATATCAATGGGGTTGGCAATTGAAGAGGCTCAAATCGCATTGCTCATTGAGGTCCGAAGAATTGGTAGAAGAACTACCGAGACACAGAAGTTAGACATCGCCCGGCAAACGCGATCGTCTCCAAGGCCAGATAGATGGATTCACTCGGTCTGCTATTACGCATCTCGGAGAGGGATTTGATGCAGATGATGATCCTGAAGACTTGTACTTGGACATTCTTGATGATCTCGATGATGACTTGGCAGACTTCACCGAGACATCTGACACATGGGCAAACTCCCCTGAGCTCACTGTAATCCCATTGCCATCAAACCTCGGGGTAGATCGATGCAGACGCTGTATGGCAGACGATCTCATTCCGCTGGAGATGTCTCTTCGTGAAGGGCAGGCCAATGACTCCCTTCACAACCTCTGAATTCACTTGTGCAACAAGGCGATTCTGTTTCGAACAACAGTTAGGCAAGCCAAATCCCAGGCCCTGAAACTCGAGCTTGGTCCCAGGTGACGTCGGTGCAGCAGGCAGTGTCCCTCCATGCCAGTATATATACGAAGACGAGGAAGCAAATGATGCAACTGGAGCCAGGGCAAGACCAGGTTCAGAAATACAAACCCCTGCTTCGAGAGCAACTCAAAATCAGCACTGCTGTCGGCGATCCAAATGCCCGAGGTCAGCGAAACAAGTCCCTCGCTTGGTTCTGGTCAGTCGAAGTCGACCTTGGGGGTCCCGATCACTCATGGAATGAGGAATGTGAGTTCGGGCATGCTTGATGTGTCCCGCACTCAGCTGACGGAGTCATCCGAAGTTTACCGAGTTCATTGGCTCCGGGAAAAGGCACTATGGGATCGATGGAAGGAAGAAATGATGTTGGTCCAATTGGAGATGGATTGGACATGTAACTTTTTCTTGTGGAAAGCAACCCAATGGGGTGACAGGATGTGGGAATCATTGGTGAAACACCTTCCGGGTCATGCATGCTACTCGGGAAGGCAATCCCAAATGTATTCATTGCTGGCACAGGATGCCCAGGCAGCATTTCAAGACCTGAAGACCGGGTTTATAGATGCTCAAGATGAATGAAATTTTTTGCCAACGATATGAAACAGCTACTTTGACCCAAACATTTTAGTCCCGGGAATTGGCCGGGTCGACCCATGTTGGAGTTTGAAAATTTTTATCAATCAACCAGTGGCTCATATCTTGACCTCCGAACCAACTGCCATTGTCATTGTCATTTCCAGCTTCATAATCCTGTTACGAACTAGGATGGTTCTGACGTATGGCTACTTGATAAGAGTAATCGGCCAAGGTCAGTTCAAGACTTCAGCGTATACTGAAGCTTCAATGTTCTAGACAAGACAAGGAGAGTGTCCTCGACTTGAATCAAGTTCAATACGACTTAAGATTGGAGGTCTTAAGCGAAGGAAGTTCCAGGTAAAACCTAGTAAGATTAAAGTAAAGAACTACATAGTACAAGACGAGTTTATATAGGAAATGATAACAGCTTTAGGGCCAGTACGATGAGGTCATAGAGATGAGTCAGAGATAAGGCGAGTCAGAGATAAGACGAGTCAGAGATAAGACGAGTCAGAGATACCAAGAATAGATCATCTAGCGACGGCAGGATGCGATCGTGATGTAATACAATGATGTAAGAGAAAGAAAATGAATAGGGGCATACTTGACTGTAACATTACCCCGTTATTATCGTTGAAGTCACCGATTTCAACAATCAAAGTTATTGTAAGCGTCATAGTTATCACGATCACCTGCGCATTGAACGAACATTCTCTCATCTTCTTCGATTGAGATCTGTTCCATAGCAGCGTCCTTGTCAGCCTCCCATCTAGAGAGGGCCTCGTAAAAACCTGCGTCCATCCATACTAATGGGATAGGTTTCTCGCCTTTAAGATCTTTGCAAAAGACCGAAAGATGCCCTGGCGCGAGGTTACGACATACACGGCAGAAGTACGTAGGGCAGTTCTTGTGACGATGACCGATTTCATTACAATTGCGACACTTAAAGTTGTCGATGGGGTCGGTTTTCACGATGGTGATGGAGGATGATCGCGGAGGCGGGGATGGTGTCTTGGAGGGTAGAGTATGGTTGTGAGAGGGAGGGGAGACGGAGATCTCTCGCTTGGAGGGTCATCGACGGGTAGGACGTATATGAGGGGTAGTTGCCGCCGGGGCAGTCGTAGGAGCAAATGGTATGATTGGTACAGCAGGAGGAACGATATCATTAGGCGTATGCTCAATGGGAGATGATATCTCGACCGGAGGTGGGATAGGAATTGCAATATGTGGGGATGGAGGTCTGGCGATTGGGTTTGTTGCAATTCGTTCAGTAACGATATGGATTGCCTCTCTAACGACTTCCTTGGTAGAGGTAGGCATGAGACGTATCGCAGAATTGTGAATGTGTATGTGAAGATGATGAAAGATGAAAGATGGTCTTAAGACGTTCATCATCAAGAAGTCCTGCAGTACGTTTGACGAGATTAGTGGCATGAATGATGTTGATGAGGAGTGTGCTAGAGAGGGCTCCTTGTTCAGCGAGGAGGCGGTCTATCTCGATAGTGTATTGTTCAGAGAGGAGGGCAGACTCGAACAACATATTGGTTTCAATGTTGTCGAGAATGGAAAAGTAGTTTGGGGATTCGGTGGTTTCGATCAATGTGATAGACGTTGTAGAGGGGGAAGCAGCAAGACTGGCGGACATATTATTAAGGGTTTTGACGAGAGTTTGGAGATGCAGGAGACAGATTTGGAGAGTGCGAAGTTCTGAGAAGGACATCTTTTCGTGACGATTCTTATAACTGGTGAGCATTCTTATAAGCAGCGAGGATTGCAGAGGCGTTGAGGCGATCTCAACCTGGCTGGGCTGATATGAAATATCTAAAAATGCTCAACCAGTATAAGTGAGTCTTGGCTCTGCCTAGCTGCTATACTCACAGAATGCAAGAATGTTCGACCCTAAAGGGGACTGCTACTGAACACAGAACCAGATGAAAGAAAGACCCTTGAAGTGCGATGGATGCGCGAAAGCGCAAGAAGAAAAGCGAAGTGAGCGCGAAGCGCGAGAGAGCGCACTAAGGTAAGCGCGAGCGTGGGAACGTGAGCGCTAAGGCGCGCATTGTGCGGAAAATACCAGATAAGGAAAGAGATAAGGAAGTGGATGTGGAAAGCGAGTGCAAACGCAGAGCGAGTGTTATAACGAGCGTGGATAAAGGTCTAGTATAGGCGGATAACGATAACCATTGGAAACACAAAGTGCGCCCAAGTGGTGACTACTACTTTAAAGTAAAACCCAATAGCGAGGGAAGTACAGCAAAGGGGAGTAATAATGATGAAGTAGTAAGTCAGCAAACTTTATACTATGGAAATCGCATCGGAAGCGGAAGGGATAGGAGCAATAAGCGCTATGAATACGTAATGACATGTAATAACGCTGCAATGCTTGTTACAAACCACGAGGCAAGGCATATGACGTACCAATGAGGTGGGTGGACATAGAGGGACGTTCCTGGATGATAGGCGATGCAGGGCGCTTAAGCACGAGAAAGCGCGCAAGGTGCGCGTGTGGGAATGCTGCGCGTTGTGTGGGAAAGTACCGCGCCTATGGCGCATTTCGCGGGAAAGCTGCGCGTTATGTGTAAAACGACTAGGGACATGATAGAAGTCGAATATAGCTGATGGTGCGAGTCGTGCATTGAAGGCCAATTGTCATGAGTTGTGAAAAGGTGCGAAATGTGCCTATATGTGCCTGCAGAAACGCGAGTCTCTACAGCGTTGCCGAGGTTTTTCGTGGGAATCCATTCGTTACTAGCGGATGAATATCCTTTCCAAGATACGAGATAGCATCTTCGTTTACCCATGCCTTTGTGCGATAAGATTGCTTCGACTTCGTTTTCTTCTTCGTTATCGATGATATCAGGTGGAGGATCGGGGAAATTAGGACCGTGGATTTCGGTTTCGTGATAGGATGATAGTTCAGAAGCGTGGAACGTGGGGTGAACCTTCCATTGCTTGGGTAACTGGAGTGTGAATGTGATCGGTGATAATACTGCGGTGATGGTGAAGGGGCCGTATCGTTTTGGAGCGAGTTTTCGTGATGGTAACTGCATGATAAGGTTCTTCCCTGATTACCAAACTTTATCACCGATTTTCCATGGTTGATACTTCTTTCCATACGATCGTGCTGCCATTCGTTGCATTGCGAGATTATGACAAGAGATAGCTTCTTCGCGTATCTTCTGAAGAAGGCGAAGCCGTTCTTCTGTGGCTGGCACAGTAGAGTCTGGGAGTACGTGAGGGAGAGCTCGTGGCTCGTATCCCATCATAAGGAAGAATGGGGATGCGTTGCGAGAGTCGTGTTTGCGATGATTGTGGACGAATTCAGATATAGGGATGTGTTCAACCCATTCTTCTGGGTTGTTGCGGCAATAGATTCGGAGATAGGTTTCTAGTTCTTGATTCAAATGTTCAGTTTGACCGTCCGTTTGGGGATGATAGGCGGTAGAAGCGGTGATGTCATATTTCAAAAGCTTCGCAAGGGCTTTAGAGAATTTGGATACAAATTGTGGACCTCGATCCGAGATCACCTTCTCATGGAGTCCAAAGCGGCGGTAGACGTATTTGAAAAACTTCTTTGCTATGCCTTCTGAAGTGATGGTTTTCGTACAAGGGATGAGAATTACCCCCTTCGTAAGACCATGGTCTACCACGACCATGATAGAATCGAAGCCATTGCAAGGTGGTAAATCAGTGATGAGGTCGACGGAGACTTGGGAAAAAGGAGTCGAGACCAAAGAAGGAATAGGGACCAGTGGAGGAGTCGTAGGGTGGGTATCAGACTTCATTTGCTGACAAAGGGCGCAACCCTCAACATATTTTCGGATATAAGTTCCCATTGACGGCCACCAGAAATCGCATTTAACCAGTTCTTTGGTTTTAAAGCGACCGGGATGCCCTGCTGTGGCGTGGTCATGGGTTCGTTCTAAGATAGAGTGACGTCCAGCCGGTCGGACGTAGGCACGGTCTTTGTAGAATAAAACATCATCCTTAATTGTCCAATCCGAGAGAGCTGATTTCATAGGGGGAAGACAAAGACCGTTCAGGGCGTCAGAGGCGGCTTGGAAGATCGGGTCGGTATCATCAGGGTCAGGGTTTGCAAGAGTGGTCATAAGCTCTTGATCAAGAAGGCGGATAAACATGGAATCAGGGAGGAGTGTTACATCTTCGTTATCGACAGTATCTAGCGCATGATCAGGTCGGCGAGACAGAGCATCAGGTGCAGCGAGTTTGGTTCCTGGTACATGATGGAGTTCGATATCATAACATGAAAGAAGGAGCTGCCATCTAGCCTGACGACAGGTTAACTTCTGAGTGGTGCGGAAATAGAGAAGGTTCTTATGATCAGTGAATACGATGACCGGATGTGGGTTTCCTTCTAGATAATGGCGCCATTCTTGGAGTGCGCGGATGACGGCCAGGAGTTCCCGGTCAAAGATCTGGTAATTACGTTCTGCCGGGTTCAAAGATTGGGATAGATATCCACAAGGGTGTACACGCCGTTTTCATCAGTTTGTAATAAGACAGCACCGGTTGCAACAAGAGATGCATCGGTGGCTACTGCAAATTGTCGTGATGGGTCAGGGTTACAGGAGGACGGGTTGTCTCAGGAAACATTCTTTTAGTGTCGTAAATGCTTCTTGACAGGGTGTGGACCAAAGGAAGACATTATCTTTCTTTGTAAGATCGATAAGAGGTCGTGCGATATCGGAATAATGAGGGATGAAGTTCCGGTAGAAGTTACAGAATCCAAGGAACGACCTAGTTTCTTTAACAGTAAACGGGATTGGCCAGTCGCGGATTCCATCAGTTTTAGCAACGTCCATAGCTATGCATCCTGGGCGAATAATCATGCCGAGGTATTCAACTTCTTGCGCATCACAGGTACATTTCTCCGGTTTCAAGAAGAGTCGTTCTTCACGGATCTTCGTAAGAATTCGACGGGTACGAGCGTGATGTTCATCAAGGTTATCCGAAAAGATGAGGATATTGTCCATATAAATTACCAACCATCCTTCATTGATTTCTTGTTGGAACATGCGATTCATGTAGGCTTGGAACGTGGCTGGAGAGTTGCAAAGTCCGAAAAACATGATGTTCGGCTCATAGAGTCCATATTCTGTGGTGAACGCAGCTTTCCATCTATCATCAGGGTGAATGCGGATGTTGTTATAACCGGATCGGACGTCCATCTTGGTGAAATACTTTGCCCCATGTAATCGTGCGACAAGGGATAAGGGAAGTGGCAAAGGGTAAGCATTCTTGATCGTCCAATCGTTGATATACCGATAATCTTGACAGGGTCGAAGGTCTCCGCTTTTCTTTCCCATAAAGAAGAAACCACTGGCTTGTGGCGACTTAGATTCTGAGATGAAGCCTTTCTTCACATTTTCATCAATGAATGCTTTGACAGCGGTTCGTTCGGCGATAGAGAGGGGATAGATTTTCGACGTTTTGGGGATGAATCCGGGTTTCGTTTCGATACGATGGTCGATACCGGGTCGTTCAGGGGGTAGTTGGTTGAGACCGTCTTTAGCAAAGATGTCGGCGAAATCATGTAGGTAGGAGGGTACGAGCTCTTCGAAAGTTTTCTTCTTCTGTTCTAAGCCTGCAGCCAGAGCAAACTGCTGAGCTTTGTTACTAACTTTCGCGTATTCCGTGGGCCGTGGCAGGGGTTTGACCGTGGGTTTCTGTTCCGAACGACTGGTCCCATCTGGGGTCAATGGCGTATCCATGGTAGTGTTTGAAATTACCCGGAGTTCAGATGCGTCAATGGAATATTCTACCAGGAACTCGTCATCATCTAGATTGTACATAGAGACTTCTCGCACTGGTGCGGCAAAGTTCTCTTGTGTCCAGACGTCTTCCTTGGTATCAAAGGTTTCGTCGTCTTCATCAGGGATGGGGAGCAGATTGGGGAGTGGGTCAAGGGTAGGAAGGGCGGGGTGGCGCCTCTTCGTCAATGATTTCTTCGATAGTTGCTTTTGGATAAGCGACAGGGGTTTCTATAATTGGTACTTTCCTAAGTTTGGATTGCTTCCAGGTCCGATCAATGGGTTCTTGTCGAAATAGAAGTGGAAGGTCATTCTTCTTCCTCTCTTTGTCAACTTCTTCTTCAACCTGATTACTCTTTTCCGTTCGGGAAAGGATGAGGGTTTCAGCTGCCCAGTCAATGACTGGGTTCATAGCCCTTAGCCAAGGGATTCCGAGGAGAATTTGGTCTCTTCTGCCAAGACGTGTGACGTTAAACTTTCCAACCATGGTTCGTTCGTCAATTTTGACAGTAAGGATGCAGTATCAGCGTATGGCTCCGTGTTTGGAATAGCTTCCATCGGCGGTAGTAACCCTGAAGGGTTTACTAAGGGCGTGGGTTCGGATCTTGTGCTTCTTGACGAAGTCTTCTGAGATAAAGGTTCCGGCTGCTCCAGAATCAACAACTGCGGTTGTTTCAACGGTTTTCAGACGTGTTTTCGAAATGAGGGAAAGGGGAACCCGAAGTTCTTTTCGTTCACCAACTTTTCATACAAGTCTTATGGGTACATCGAGAGATACTGACGTTGATCCAGTCTCCCATATCAAAATCCTCGTTAAGACAACGGACTTCCGCTTCTTCTTCTTCTTCGTCACTGCTTTCTACTTCTTTGTGGTGTACCGGGGTTTTCCCTTTCTTCTTTTCAGGACAGTTCTTAAACAGGTGTCCGGTCTTGTGACAGGTGAAACATTTTCCGGTTCAGAAATGTTCAGCCCGTTCTTCTTCAGAAAGCCGATCGATCACCATGGCGTTGGGATCTTTAGAAGGTACGTATCGGTTAGATCCGAAGTTCTTCTTCTTCTGGGGTTGGTTGTGTGCCCGGATGGTGTTTAAGTGAAGGCGTGAATTGTCGAGATTGATGCAAGTGGTAAGGACTACTTCAAAGTCGTCGGAGACGTCTCCCGTGCCATAGAGGTGAGCGAGCAGTCCTGGATGTAATCCGTCTAAGAAAAATTGTTTCTTAGCGATGTCACCTTGAATTCCAGCCCTTCGTGTGAGCATTAAGAATTCCGAGATATAATCTTGGAGTTCGGTTCCTTGTTTCAGGTTGCAAAGCTTGGCTAACGCGGTTCCCGAGGGATCAAGCGGCCTAAACGCGCTTTTGAAGTCAGCGAGGAATTCAATCCACGTACCGTATCCTCTGATGAGGCCTGCGGTAGTCTTGTTGTTGGGATCCTGCGCTTGTCTGAGGAAATCTTCCTTCCAGTAGCGCGCGTTCCCTTCATTCATGAAGGAGGTTACGAAAATGTTTTTCTGTTTGTCGTCGATATAGATCTTTTTGTTGATATTGAGGTAAGACATGCACGACATCAGGAATCCTTCGGATTTATCTCTATCCCCATCAAAGACTGGGGGAGATCCGATCTTGATTTCAATGGGTTTCGTGGAAGACATTGGGGGGTTCAAAGGTGGTATGGGTGGTACAGCACCTAAGTTCAAAGCGCCAAAGATTGGTGTTAATGATGTCAGCTTGTTTCAGCTTTCTTGGGACCTGGGGTTCTATCTGTCGTGATGACCAGGGTTTGTTCTTTCTTGGCTACAACGCGTGATGGTGATGTGTTCGTGGAAGACTTTAATCTTTTGTTACAAACTGGGATGGTTCTGACGTATGGCTACTCGATAAGAGTAATCGGCCAAGGTCAGTTCAAGACTTCAGCGTATACTGAAGCTTCAATGTTCTAGACAAGACAAGGAGAGTGTCCTCGACTTGAATCAAGTTCAATACGACTTAAGATTGGAGGTCTTAAGCGAAGGAAGTTCCAGGTAAAACCTAGTAAGATTAAAGTAAAGAACTACATAGTACAAGACGAGTTTATATAGGAAATGATAACAGCTTTAGGGCCAGTACGATGAGGTCATAGAGATGAGTCAGAGATAAGGCGAGTCAGAGATAAGACGAGTCAGAGATAAGACGAGTCAGAGATACCAAGAATAGATCATCTAGCGACGGCAGGATGCGATCGTGATGTAATACAATGATGTAAGAGAAAGAAAATGAATAGGGGTGTACTTGACTGTAACAAATCCTGCATAAACCGGCAATGGGTTCCGACCCCTCACACTCACTCAGGCAGATATTGCAGCTACAATGTCAATGGCTGCATCTCACATCCGAGCGTCCATCTCTCAATATCAGATGGAGGCTGCCCACACCCAGGAGCCTTCTGCTACTCGGATCACGCACTTTAAAGCCAGGCTGCAATGGGAGATAGCTGTAAGAGGCTGATGACTGTGGTGGTCAATGCTGACATTTCCAACAGACTTTTGTGACTCCCATCCTGCAGTACTCAGCTGCAAGGAACATCATTTCAGTTGTTCCGAGCCCGGTTGCTCATATTCTTCAGTTGATTCCCAAGCTCACCTGGAACATGGTTCCGGACCACATCTTTTCATCCCACCTATGCCAGTTTCAAGATGTTGCAGATCTGGGGGATCCCTCCCGCATTGTATCCACCTATGGTACTCAATGGTGGACTGGATCAACTGCCATCCCGAACGAATTATGGCCATGGGATCAGGTATTCGCTAATTGTGTCTGTCACTACCAGCATTGGCTAGTAAGACTTGTACAGAATTTCCTTGAGTGATGACTAATCCTTTCTAGTCTGGCATTGAGGACGAACATCTTGTTGTTCCCAAGCAGGTGGATGAAAGCTCGCTTGCAACACTGAAGGCACTGAGGTGGATGAGGGAACGCCTCCTGACAGTGATTGAGGATCAACAAGCTGGCATCCGTGAAAAGATGGCAGAGATTCAGATGTACACCGCCGTCCTAACCAAATTGAACCCAAGGGGACCAGAGTAGTTCTAGTCCTTCAGTTCAGAATGTTGAAGTCTAAATTCTGCACATGATGAAATAAGTACTGAAAATTACATACTGACTTTCAAATATCTGACCTATTTCTATATGCTGAGTCCTGCATACCAAATATTGAGTATCGAGATCCAGATATCTTGAGTCCCAAATATTGAGTCCCAAACATAGAGTCCCGGATATCCAGTCCCGAAGCCCAAGATTCGAGATGAGACTTGAAACTCGAACATTGCTATGAGTTGCGAGTTTTGAGTCCCCACCGAGTCCTGACAATCGAGTCCTACAGCCCGACTATTGAGTCCCAACCATCGAGTCCCAACCATCGAGTCCCGACAATCGAGTCTTGAAACCCAAATCCGCACTATCGAGTCCTGACTACCAAGTCTTGAAACCCGAGTCCTGACAATTGACTCCCGAAGCCCGAGATTTGAGTGCCGACCATCAAGTATCGAGTCCCCAATATCAAGACCCAAAACCCAAAACCCAAGAAGCCCGAAGCCCGAGATTCGACATGAAACAAATCAAAACTCAAAACAACACAACACTTTCTTGAATCACCGAGTACCAAAACCCGAGTACCGGGTACCGAGTCTTGAAACCCGAATCCGCACTATCGAGTCCCAACTACCAAGTCTTGAAACACGAGTCCTGACAATTGACTCCCAAAGCCCGAGATGTGAGTGCCGACCATCGAGTATTGAGTCCCTATTATTGAGACCCGAAACCCAAAGCCCAAAGCCCGAGATTCGACACTTGAAACAAATCAAAACAAAACTCAAAACATGACACTCATCAATTTTGGGAGTTGTTTTCTTGAATCACTGAGTACCGGGTACCATGTACCAAAACCCGGTACTCGGTAGTCGGTGAAATGTGTACAACATCACTATGGAATATACTCGAATATTGAGTCCCGACTATCAAGACCTGAAACCCAAATGTTGAGTATGGAGTGCCTGACATCTAGTATCATGTATTTGAAGGTGGGTACTAACACAGGTAACTACCTTTCTACTTCTTCCAATCCAACCTTGCCCATCCACACGACGGAATCCCAGCATAAACATGAACAGCATCCCTCATATACCATGCCCAGGCAATCCGATCCCCTTCCACTGCATGAACTGCGTGTCTGACAATCCTTCCCGAAAATGCAATCATGCACCCCGGATCATACCTTAACTCCAGCTGCAGGCTTGGCATACTCATCCGAGCATTAGAATAATTCCCCACGCTAGTGAGAATATCGAAGCATTTGGAAATCGATGAGGGGTCTCGATGATTCGGGGTTTCCCGATTGCATATGACAGTGAGGCTGTTAAACACCGTTGCCCAGTACTGGAGAGTCTCTGACATCTTCGGCAGTTCCTTGCTTCATGCCTTTTCTCCGAGGCTCGCAAAGGCTTGCAACCCTGCCCAGTACTGCTCAGGATGCATCACCCTGAGTGCCGCTGTGGCAATGGCTGCTGGCCTCGCAATGGCTTTGAGGATGTTCTCGGAGGATGGTCCCTTCAATGATGCAGATACCTCCGGATCGGACTGATTCTATGGGATTGGTGAGTTTAACTACTGAGATCGCCATCTCATCAGATCCTACCTCGTGCCCCTGCTGAAACCATGCCGGAGATAAATTAACGCATCCAGGAGTTAGGACATCATTTTCCGAGCTTGGTGTGAACCACTGTTGATTAGTCCACCAAATCCCATCGAGCTTTATGCTTTGTTCGAGCATGGGAGCTAGCAAATCCGAGGCCGCCCAAATTTCATTCTGTACGTACCATTTGATGTTCAATATCCATCCAGTCACAATATATATAACACACCTGGGTGGCATCGGTCAAGGTGTCTGGGAGGTACCATGCGATGATGGCACCGGATGCATCAAGAATTGTTGCGGGTATGTCGATCAACTTTGTGCCCTCATGGCCAGGAGGACACCTCTCAAGCAACTTTTCCTCTCTCTCTTCATTACGCCCCGTGTCCTTTGGGGAGATCAATTTGCTATATCTTGCAATATCAATTGGCATCTGAACTGTGATGAAGCAATTTGACCGATAAAATGAATTTTCCGAATCTGCAGGAAGACTCACTGGGATTTTTATATGCCTTTATGAGCCGATCAACCAATTGATCACAAGCCATCACCAGATCAGTGTCTAGGTTTGGAGAAGGTATAACTGGGTCTCCTCCTGTCTTCTCTGCATTGAATTTCTGTTCCGTATAATCACATGCCACATGAGTGACAGTCAGGGCCCAAGTGCGCAAGAGGGTTATTTCATCATCGGAAGTGGAAGAAACATCCATGATTGAATTGATCTTGTGAGATCAGAAGCTGAATCCTGAATGTCCGCACTTTGGTGTTAAAGGGGGTGGAGATTGAGAGGATCAGATAAGGGAGCCTTGGATGATCTGAGCTTTCAAAGATCTATTTCTCTTATCATCTATTGCTCAATGAAATACCATATGATTGGAAGTCTGTTGGATGTCAGATACTCGTTTGTCGAGACCCAGGCCTCGGATCTCGGTACACTTCACTCGATTTTGATACCCGGGACACCATAGTTGGAACTTGTCTCAAATCTCGGGTCTCGGGTCTCGGGCGTCGGGTCTCGGGTCTTGGGCGTCGGGTCTCGGGTCTCGGGCATCGGGTCTCGGGTCTCAATGGTCGGGACTCGATATACGGGACTCGTTGGTCGGGACTCGATACTCGATTGTCGGGATTCAATGGTCAGGCGTCGGGTTTCATGACTCGGTAGTCGGGACTCGATAGTCGGGACTCGATGGTCGATTTTCGGGATTCGATAGTTGGGGCTCAGATATTGGTACACTTCACTCAATTTTCGGTGGTCGGAACTTGGCATTTGGCATTTGGTAGGCTTGGATGATGTTGGCTTTCAAAGATCTATTATCATCCATTGCTCAATGAGATACCAGATGATCGGAAGTGTGCTGGACATCACATATTTGTTTGTCGAGACCCGGGTCTTGGAACTCGGTACACTTCGCTCGAGTTTCCACTTCACCCCTTTGCAAAGCTCCGTGCCATACCACATCATTAGATGACTTTGAATAATCACCTCCTTTGATTTGGATGATATACAACTAGCTGAGCTCCATCATGTCTACAATTATCATTCTCCTGGGCCCACCCATCTATCTTATATACCCCCACGTCGGCCTACCCATCTATGCAATATATGTCTCCCGTCGGCCCACCTGTATATAATACATCTTTTACCACTCCCTCGGCCCACCCGTCTACAAAATAATATTAATTCGTCGGCCCACCCGTCTAATATGATATATATCTGGGCCCACCTGTCTATGTGATAACAAGCACCCTTGATATACCCGGCTATTTGATACATATCTACCTTGGTACACCCATCTACATAATATCCAACTACCTCGGCCGATCCATCTATTGAAAATTCATGTCCATTGGCCCACCCATCTACTTTACATATTCCCCACCTGGGCCCACCCGTCTCCATCGGGAATAATAACACTCCCGGCCCATCCGTCACAGTCGAGGATATATCTACCCTCGGCCCATGGTCCGCTGGCCCATATCATACGGGATATTATGCACGTCCGTCCACTCGTATAATACGGAGATATGTTACTGCAATATGTGCACTGACTAAGCTATGGAGATCGCCGAAAGCCTGACTGCCTCTTGTCTATGTGCCTTCCTCTAGTCTATGCCTTGGGACCCCTGGTCCACCGTCCTGATATGCACCAATGTCAAAGTAAAGCACCGATCGAGATACATACATATACTCACCATCTGGACTACACAAATAGAAAGAGAGGGACATGGAAAGTAGAAGTAGCGTGTCTTTCAAAGTTGAGTCACTGGGAAGTTGAGGTACCCTAAACAAGTCGTAAATAACAGAAAGCAGGTCAAGAAGATGTGAAACAGAAATAACGGCAGAGGAAGATGAGAATATATGTTTGTATTTCGAAGTTTTAGGTCCCTAGGCAGGTTCGTCAGCTAGATACTCCTTCACAAAGACATACTCAAATACGTCTTTGATCTGCAATAGTGTTAGTTATTGAGTTCATGTGTATCACATTAGACTTACAGATATGTTCAGCTGACCATTTTGTGAGGAGCTGGGATGTAGGATAACTTTAATAGAGGGGCTATATAGTTGTATTTCCAGAAGTTATGAGCTGTGTGTAACAGTCAATGATCACCTGGTTCACATGACTGGACTTGTGACACTCACCGGAAGCTGGATACATGACAGTGTGAATGTGGAAGTTAGAAGACCACTGGCAAGCCCCACGGCCTGCAGGAAGCTCAATGGTGGTGGCAATGAACCGGGGTCGAGGCAAAGGTGAGGCTTGATTTGGAGTGGCAACATCATCCAAGCACTGGGTGGGGTTTGACGCGGCATAGGAAAGTGTGGAGGTTGGCATTAGTACAGAGGTTGTGAAGATGTTGGGGAGAGCTTGATGTGGTATAAGTGGTGCTTGTCGCAGTCTGAATGAGGCCTGACATGCGTGGTTTTGTAGATGTGGCGTCATGTGAGCTGACATAATTTTTTTTGCGGATCAGGGTGCCTGGATGATTTCAACCGACAAAACCCCCTCCTCCCCATAAACTTATAAAGTGGGTGTCGGGAATCAATCAATCACAGATAGTAAGGTTAGTTATATGTACTCCGCCTCAGCCCATTCTGTGTTTCTTGTCTGATTTCTTTGGTGGAATGCCACAGAGTGGGACTTTGTTAAGAGTCATCGGCGGAACCGTTATGCCTCAGGCCCAGCTAGCAAGGCAAAGAGAGTGCAAACACTTGTTTAGCCTAGACCTCTGTTAGATCGATGACTACATGATTGCATACGGAACTCCTCAATCGATGCAAGTGCAGCAAGAACACCTTGAAAGTGGTGTTTGTAAACAAGTCGCCGACTCATTACGAAACACTGTTCGAACTTTCCTGATGACTTGATACATTCTGTGTGCATGATAAGCACTGGTTTGCAGATCAAAATTTATTTGATTCCATCAAGGGTTTTCACTTTTTGATTGATTTTGCACTGCAATACTTCAACCGACTAAGGGCCTTGAGGGGGAATAAATATTCGTCTCCTGGGCCATCATGCTGAATTTGGTGGTACAAGCGCTGAACGGTGGTATATCTAGCATGAACACTATTGTTATATCCCCCACTCACTCCCACCCATCCCTTGAATATGACTATAGTCTCAAATGATCCTATTTGGTGGCCGATAATCAATGCAAATGTTTTTTTCAGTTATTGGCCAGGTTCGTCGCTTCAATCGGTGATGTCTCGATCTAAAATTGACTTGCATTTTTGCAGTTGCCGCCGGCGTCATCGTGGTGTATGATTGGGGTGAGTAGGACATTGTTCGGAAACTTCTGACATTCTTATGATATTTCCAGTACTAACACTTGGACAAGAGGTAGGTTGGTACTGTCGCCAGAGGAGCCAACTCACTAAGAATGGTGTCATAGATTGAACTAATCTGGGTGAGTGATAGAGTCCCATATCGGAAGAAAAACAGGAGAATACATGAATTCACGACAGAGGCAATGCTGGTCTCTCATGACTGTGCTGTATCTGGTGGTTTGTACCTCATGTTATACCATAGCATAGTTGGCAAGTTGTGCTGACTGCAAAATGTTGCAGACACACTATATTGGACTTCCATATTCTGTGTATGTGTTTGAGGCCAGAAAATTGGAATGTGCTAATAGCTCATCTCTCATGATTAGTACCAGTGTTCTGTGTATGTCTCATATGTGCTGTGTTCAATTCTTCTGACTGGTGGCATACAGCAAATATGCCATCAGTCTCGATGACAGATGCAGTACGTGGTCCCTAAATATCTCATTCACATTGAATGATTACACTCATTTGTAGGGGTGAGTGAGATTCTGACCATTGAACTTGGCTCAACATAATGACCCAATAGGTGTGAGTCAGAGTGTTTTATCCTAGTGCGAGGGTGATCACTGATTGGGTGTTTCAGGCAATATTACAGACTACATAAGGAATGTGACAAATGTGGTCGTAGCTGCCATGTTGGGTGGTGAGTTACCCAGCTGCAATACCTCAGTGATATTGACTCAACTGCAACATGATGCAAGTCATCATGATGGCTCGGTTACATGCTATGTATCAGAGATCTAGAATGATGCTCATCTTCCTTGTTATCGTCTTCCTGGCTGTAAACATCGCCTGCGGAGTGATCACGGCAATAGGACTCAAGTATGTGGTAGGGGGTAAGCTTTACTTGTTCACTTGAAGAACATAACTCATTGGAAAAACACCAGAGGAGCTGATACTCTCTGGCATGTATGTGTGCGGTTTTGTATCTGAGGGGGATGTCCAGCTTCTGGCCTCAATGATTTGGATGCTCAACACAGTTTGGGAGGTCCTCGCACTGTGTCTTTTGGTTTGGATTGCTGTGAAAAACTTGCATGACGTGTCATGTTTCAGAGTTCTGATACAATCTCACGTGCTTTATTTTGCAAGGTGAGCTTGTAATGTTGATGTGGCTATCTTGTTTTGCTCAAGTTCTGCATGTGCTAGCTTTGCTGCAGTCTCTTGCCTGCAACTTACTTTTCTCTCTCTAGGGCTCTCAGTACGTCAACCTGCTGTTGATATCTGCATGGAACCACTGCTCATCACTCTGCAGAATTTGAATGATATAGAAGCTATGGTACTCGATTGTGCTATTCAAATTTTACCGCCCGTGCAGATGTTTGTGCTGGGACCACACCTCATCCTTAGCGTTCGAGAATATCACGCAAAACTTGTGGCCGACTCCAACGTAGAAACTAGCATGACTTCGATTGTCTTCCAGGAGCGTGTAGATGTACCAACTAGCAGTACTGTATAGGGAAATGTTTGCCAAGTGTTCTGCAGGGAGGAGAAATATGGTCGAGGATCCATCGTGGTATTTATTTAGTGTGTCGAAGTATATTTAAGATGAGGTTATGTAGACAAACCCATTTCTTGTTGAATCACTACTGGAAGTCAGTGAACTGCCTGCCCATACTTGCATCAAGTGGTAAGCTGAAGTTATCTGGAATGTCTAGTAACCAACAGTCCTTGATGCCCAATACTGAAATACTTACAGCAAGAATCAGTACAAGTTGCTAGACAGCTGATTCTACGTGTTTGCAGAGTTCCACTGTCTGAGCACACAAATGATAAAGAAATGACCGTGAAGCACAAAGCCCAGATGGCTAATAGCTTATTGGTCTGAGATGCATGTTCATCCCTCTGGGTCACAGTGAAGGAAAATGAATGAATTGCGCAGACTCGTGGCTCAACTGTATTCCTTTATCATGAATGAGCATGGTAAAGACATAAGGCGTACTGTGCAAGGAGTAGCCAATTCGAGAATGCTGTCAAGCTATTAATGAGGCATCGACTACGATATTCTGAAATTGTATACATACATACATTGATCGGAGTTCGCGCATGCAACTGCAAATTATGCATTGGGTTCGCATCCTTGCAATCATCTGCTAGAGCCCGTCCTGATATGCACCAATGTCAGATCAAAGTACCAATCAAGATACATACATATACCCACCATCTGGATCACACAAGTAGAAAGATAGGGGCATGGAACGTAGAAGTAGCATGTCTAGAGCTCAGACAGCTGATGACACAAGAGTTCCGCAGCATAATGACTCTTGCCTTCTCCTGAACTAGCATCTGTTTGAACACAGAAAAAATAAGTGATGTGGGCGGGCGAGAACACTGCAATGGATACTAAATCATCGTGATCACGATATAGCAACCCCTGACCAGGCCTAAAGAGTGGTGATTCTGAATTCTGTGGTCAGAGAGGGCAATCATGGTTCTGGATGCAGAAGTGAATATGAAGGTGGAGATGAGGATGTATTCGAAGATGTTTTGCAGGAATGTTTGAGGGTACCATGATATCTCCCACATGGGCCGTTGGAACAACTAATAAAGAAAACCACTTACAGATGGCCAGTGATATAGATATGCGGAACGAATCAATGCAGGATGATCATGACTCGGAGGATAATGAGAGCGATTATGACTAATGATTCCAGGTATCGATGGAGACATGAGGTGTTTCGATGGCGGGAAGTTATCTTTTATAGAAGAAGGCTTGGATACAAAGTTTGGGTATTCAATTATGACCAGATGAAGGACAAAGTCCAGTGTTGCAACTCTGCACTAAATGGACGCACAATGAAATTAGAAGAGTGGGTCGATCAGATCACACGCACCTTAAGCTTGTCACTGCGTGTTGTCCAAAAATTCCGACATCTGAGACTTGGCGTAAATTCTGGGGGGTCCCCAAGGTTTCAGCCACATCACCCGCCACCAAGTATCAGCCGGCCAGTACTGAGTCGTCAACTTGATACTCTAAGTTAACACTCCACGCAACGATGGCGGATATTGTCAGGCCTCCTCGCCTTGATTTCCACTTGGTATATATGGCTTCGACTCAACCCTTCAACACACCTCAATGTACGCATACCCAGCTGCAGCTGCAGACCTACCACATTAGTATGTATAATGTTAACCCATAGCTAGGGTTTATCTGACGAAAAAGGCAACTCGAACTTGGTATTTGTTTGCACTCCAGTGTCGTCGACGCTGCTTGTCTCGAACACAATCGACACCACAGCACTCTCCTATGTAAGTACCTTGCCTTCAATACTACAGGTACCCCTCACTGATACCACCTTATCAGTCTTTTGATCTATTCCACCTGGGCCAGGACCATAGCACAGGCAAATTGTGCAAGTTTTACCTCGGATTTGAATGTCTATTGCGGCCGTCAACTCGAGGATAATTACACGTATGAAGACTAATGTACAGCTTGTAATATACCTGGTCTTTCAAAGACCGTTCTTTGATCATCTGTTGTATCTAATTCATAGCCACCACAGCGCTTGTGTCCTTGCACTGTGTGTACACCAGCGGGTCTGTTCCAGACAATTCAAAAAATCAAACTCCATGTTGGGAGAAACAGATATTCTCATCATCAGCCAGGTCCAAACAAGCTTGTGTTTGAAGACAAGTTAGATCAGGGATTCAAAAGCTTGCAACCTGCTGCCAAGTTTGAATGTCCACCCTCACCTACCCTGGAGGAAAATGAGTACTTTGATTGCGAAGCAGACACTGATATTAACATGGGCATGGATGTGGATCCTATTGACAGGGACTTGTATGTTGACGACGATGTTTGCGAATACTCTTCCCAACCCAATTCTCCTCGTCTATACTTTCCACCATCTGACGATGAGTCTCTTGACAACCAAAGTGTACTTTCTCTCAATCTCGGCACTCCTGCTATCACACATGACGAGCATCACGAACAGGTCAGTACCAGTGAATATATTGAGGGAGGTGACAAGCAAGATGATGAGCGAGTTTGGGATCCAGAGGGGGATCCTGAATACTTGTCAAATGATGCCGTCCTCGAGGATGGCCCCGCACAAGAAGACCAAAGCAAGCCGGAGGATATCCTCCCACAAGCATTATTGGAGCATCCAGCTCTTCTTAATGGCTACTTGACTGTGTTTGTCAATGCTGCATACCGACATGCAACACATGCAGACTCAGAGGCAACACTCACCCTCCTTTGCAGTACAATCAAGACATGTTATCGAGACCTTGGCGGAGTTCCACCAGGACTCGACCTAGATAACATGGCTCACACTCTTTGCAACCGTGGAAAAACGCCTTGGCGTTGACACCAGCAAGATTATCACCACTTACATTCTTTGTCCGTCGTGCTGGAAAATGTACCATCCCTCTGACTTTGCACCTTATTCAATCCGACCTGCACTAAGCCAGATTACTCTACAACGCTGTTTCAAACCAAACACATGACATCCGAGGGCATAAAAAAATTCTTTCAAGGTCATGCCGGTCACATCATTGAAAACTGCGCTTGTGAGGCTTCTTATGCATCCAGGGAAGTGGGACGAGCTACAGCACTGGCGAAAAGAAGGAGATGATGAGCCAGCACCACCCATCACACGCGAAGAATGGTATGCAACAAAGGCACTTGATGAGCCACTCTGTGACATTTATGATGGTTGGATGTGGCATTCTGTTCCAACAGGCATGACATGCGAGTGGGACGAGAGGAATCAGAAGGTTAAAGACATCAATGTCAAAAATCTCCACCAAAGATGCGTGTTGCTAAAATGTGGTATTGTAGTGCATATTAACATTGACTGGTACGTGATCTTCAAACTTTCTAGCTCTACCTTCTGTTAATGTCAACTCTAGGTTCTGAGCTTTGAAACGTGCCAACTACTCTACTGGGACAGTCTGGCTCACTATCGACAATCTGCCACGATCAATTCGATTTCTTCGTGAAAATACATTCCTTCTGCTCATTATTCCTGGCCCAACAGAACCGAACACAGACCAGCTGAATGGGCTTCTTGAGCCATTCGTTCCAGAGCTCAAAGATCTCGGTGAAGGTATGTACATTGCAGCAGTTATGTAGTAGCTTATCGACATTGATAACTGAGATAACAGGAGAGTTCTTCAAGGTGTTTGGACATCAAGATCTCGAACAAATTCATGTTGCGCTTCCATTTGGAACTATGGATACACCTGCTCACCTCAAAACAGCTGGATTTGTCTTGCAAAACTCAGAGGAGCATATGTGTCCGTGTTGCAATGCACCATTCTCATCATTAGTTGATCCAGTTTGCTTCGATCGCTCAAGTAGGTGTTTTTTTTTTCATATGTACCGAGTCCTCATGGTTTCGCAGAATTCTGCTACCGGAACCCAGAGAAGCAGCTCAAATGGAAATTTATTTACAGAGATTCCGATGCTGACACTCGAAAGAACATTGTGGAGAAGAAGGGTGTCCGTACTTCGATTCTCGACAGGCTTCCGACCTGGAATGGAGCTCTGAGCATTCCATCAGAAATTCTGCACCTTTTCTGGGGCCCAGGTGTGTTTCAAAACTCTCTGGTCGGTTACAAGTACCATGGTTGAAACTCCAAGTCTCTTACAGGTGCTTCTGGCCAGATCCATAGGGTCATTCTCATTGAGGGTTCCATGTTCACAGGGACCGGAAAATGGGGAGAAATCACACCCATGGATCGGCTTACCGAGTTTCTGGAATCATTGTGGTGGCTGAACAATTCTGGACGCTTCCAAATCAAGGTAAGCTTGATATGAGCTTTGAATGATAATACTAAATTATGATGGCAAGATTGCCAGTGGAGGAGAGCTGTTAAGACCGTACTCAAGTAGTATCGGATCCGAAGGGCTTCGGCCTCAGCTCATGCGCTGTGCCCCTTTCCCGAGTCTTGCCCCTTATTTCAGAGAGCTAAAGTATCGCGTCTAGTGAGACGGATAAGTATCGTAACGGATAAGTCTTGTATCGCAACGGATAAGTATTGCAACGGATCCGTTAAGACTTCCAGATATCGAACATATAGAGTAACGGCTAATCCAGATCGGATCCGGACTAGAAACTAACGGGTGAGGACTGTCCGAAGACAGAGGCGGATATGTAGACTATAGGAATCTATCCTAAGTCTCGGAGTAGACAAGAGTAGCGTACTCAAGTCCGGACGGATAACGAAGGGACTTAGAGTCCAGACGGAATGAGTGCAATCTAAGATGATATTCGAACTGATCTACTACAGCGCATATACAAAGGTTTATATACTACGGATAGCTAACGGAATGATCAATAAGCAAAGGTGCGAGGCTATGTACGAAAGTATAAGCAAAGTCTAAGTGGAGCGTATTGGTAAGTCGGATGGATCACGAATCATGAACCGGGAATGAAGTACAAGTAAAAGCGGATTCGTAAGTGTAGCGGATCAGTAAGCAAAGCGGAAGTAAAGGATAACCGGTATACCGGTGTACAGGAATACCGAAAGGAGATGAACGATAGTTAGAGTTATATGAACAGGAAATGAAATAAGAATCAAAGCGGATCTGTGGACCGGACGACGGATATGTTCATCGGATCTGGATCGGATCTGTAACCGGATATATGGTATATGACAAGAGCGTCCAAAAGCTGATGAATGGTGCAATTTTATGCGAGTTTATCCAGTTGCACTCGCAGTTGCTTGGCAAATGTGGACCCATCAACCAGATGAAGATGCACCTGCTCCACATAAACGTACTAAGGTACACCAAGCTGTTCTTAAATCGAAAGAGCTGCTGCATACATAAGTGTCATATCAAAAACCTTGCTCGCGACGAGGATGCACAGGGTGATGATTACATTGCTCTTGAAGACATCGAGGCAAGCCGCAACTATCATGATCACTATCAAAATGTGCTGTGCTATTGTACTGCAACACGGATTTTTGCCTCTCGATCCATCACACCCCAAGAGGCAACTCGTGCGTCCAATTTCATGTCTGAAGCGTCACAATCATGGGCTGCAATGAACTGCCACCTAACACTGAACTATCACTTTGCCAGCCATGTGCTCGAGTATATCAATACATACGGTCCAGCATATGTGTGGTGGGTGTTTCCATACGAGCGAGCCATTGGTGTCCTTGGAAAGGCTAACCACAATGGACATGGAGGTGGCGAAGTTGAGGGGACATTCATGAGGGCTTGGTGGAAGAGTATTTGATCCAGGAGCTGGTAGGCCACACTTTCTAGTAATTCACTGTGTCTTCACTGATTGTCCATTAGTTGATGCACCTACAGGTGCGGCCTAATCAAACAGATGAAGACGAGAAAATTGTCCAGTTATTGTTAAAAGCAGTCAAAGGTGGCGCGGAACTCAATCGCCAGAAGAGGAACACTCCTGAACTACCTTGCCCTTCTATCTGCACCGGAAGACTCAGGTTCATGAGTTTGTTATCAATTACAGACACAAATTAAAGAGTTACTACTAGTCAAGATCGTTCTCCCCAATCGATTTAAGATAATTCCCTTGCGACCTCTCAACATCTATCCTGTCGTCCTACATTTTCTTCGACTGCAGTTCCCTCACCTAAATTTGATCTTGGATGCTGGAGAAGCATTGCATGGGATTCCATTTGAATCCCGTGGTGCAAGATCATATGCTACAGTAAATATCAGGGCCGCAAAGTATGGATCCTCACTTCATCACCGCGGCAAGGGATTCTGCTATGGTTATGTCGATGGCAGACATGCAGCTCGAGTCGACTACAACCTGTCTGTCACTATCCCTCATCAAAATCCTCCTCTAATTGTCAATTTGGCCCTTATCTGACGGTTTCAAGAGCCTGCCTGAGACATTGAACATCCGTGGTCTTTGTCAGCAACTGATCTCGGAATCGTGACTTGGAAATACAATGAACTGGGCAACCTTGAAGCTTGTCTTCTTGAGGACTTTACAGGTCAGTTTGCATTTGCACGAATCTGTGTTCCTCATGCTGGTCATTTCTGGGTTACATTCTCCTTGAACACTGTGAGTGCACGAGTTGAATAACCTCTGTCAAATCAGCTGAACTTCAGATAGACCACTCAAGAACCTGATAGCAGTGACAACGAGTGTCACGAGTGAGCCTCATGAGAGTTGATCAATTACTGGATGCTGTTACAAAGAAGAATCTATGGTAGTATAATGATAACGAGCAATTCCGAGTCCAAAATATAGCAAACCTGATCTAGTCCATGAATGTGAGTAACCTAAACTGACTCGGATGACGAGCTTTCGGAGTATGATATGTCTGCATCGTGATTGTCGGTCATAAGTGCCTCCTGCTGTTCGCGGTCCTCTCGCATCAGGCTCTTAAGCCATTGTGTCGAGACTGCCCATCGTGGAGTCTTGAGGCTGTTGTGTTGTGGCAAAGAGTCCACCGGCCGAGGTTGACCTTGAATCTGTGGCACTTGTTTCTTCATCCAGTTCTTCTTATCAGCCTCCCTCTCGGTAACAATCTTTTCAACTTCATCCTTGATAAGCTGAGAAAGAGCACGATACTACATTGGCGGAGGTAAGAAAATAATCAAAGATACAGTCAAAACACGACCTACATCCTTTGAATGCCACGCTGGAGGATGTGTTGTGAAGACACCCTCCTTCTTTGGCTTCTTGTAAGCTTTGCGTCTCTTGTTAACAACAATGTTGACCTCATCACTTGAACTCTGGTGTGAAGCGTCAGAGGCACTATAATCTGTCGACTGCCATTTTGGTGCAAAAGCAAAGTCGTACATCTGGTCCTTGATGTCTGGGATATTTCTGCAAGCCTCAATTGCGAGTTTGGATTTCTGTATCAATAGTTTGTTAGTGCAGGTATGTCAATACATTCATGCTCACATCAATTTGGCGCTTCTCGCGACAAGCAATGGCAACGTTCAGAGACTGAAGTCCAATCAGCCTGTTTCCCTCCTTATAGCCCTCCTTTAACATCTTGAATACTTTACCAGCAACACTCCGCAATGTCTTATCGGGTATGCCTTTGACTGCATCCTGCAAGAGAGTTGGTTCATATTTGCTTGCATCTCGACGGAACCGCTCAAAGAATGATTTGTGCCACTTGGAATTATGGGTCCATGAGTCGGCCCATTTTGGTTGAAGAACAGAAGTTGCTGTCGTTGTTCCATAAACCTCAAGCAAATCGATTTCCGTCCAGTAGGTATCCTTCCCATCCACAAGGTCAGGAAGAGCTTCATTAGACTCGATGCCCATCATCTTAAACAGCACTTGACGGATGGCACTCTAGAAGCACAGTAAGATAGGTAGCAGTCAACAAGGATAAAACAACGTACATTCATTGCATTGTTCCGAACACCAGTGGCAACAAGTGCTGTGGGTTCACGCATCTCAAGGGCCTCAATGCGCTTGATGAGGCTTTCAATCTCTCCCTCGAGCCGTGTTGTTGTTGTTGCAGCATGGTGATCTGAGAGCCTGGCTTGCTCTTTGTGAAGCCGTAATATCTCTGACTGCGAGCTCTCAATATAATTGTGTTGGCAACTCGCTTGGAGCTGAGTCTTCAAATGAGCAGAGGCTCGTTCCTTCTGGCTTAATCCCTTTGCCGATCCAAGCGGGGTACGTGACTTGAGCAAGTCGTTGTCGGTGTCATCCTTGCAAACAGGGGGGGTGCGTGAAACTCCAGTCATACGCTGCGAAGACGTTGCAGGATTTGTGTTGCAGGGTGCTGCAAACCCAACAGGCTGCATCAGGTTGGTAGTGCCATTCATTGGCTTCGACTTTGAAGCCTTTGAGGGCAGGCCCTTGTCTGTGAGGAAGGGACGCGCTGTCTTCTTACTTGAGGGTCTTATATGTTGATCAGAATACAATGACTATCACAATTGTATTCTTTAAGACTAAGGTGCCAGCTCCTCAAGTTCACGGTCAACGGATTTTCTACTTCTCGGTTGATAACGTGGTGTTTGTGGGTGGCCAAAGGGTAATAAATTACTTCTTTGCTAGATCACTTCTTGATAGTAAAGGAGTATGTATATTTTGTCAGGTTAACTTAAACCTAGTAGGTAATATGGACCTCTCTGAACTGAATGTTGCACGAATACGTAAAACGATGAATAAAACGATAGATTATTGTATAGGCGATCCCTGTAAGATAGTATACAATCAATCTAGACTAGTGAATACAATTGTTTTCAAAGGCAACTCATAGGCCTTCACTTTCTTCGTGATCTCACAGTGTTGAGACAGAAAGTGGGAAAACTCCTGACTTCAAATTCCTACGTTCCCACACGGTTTGGGAAAAGAATGGAAGGGGAAAAACTTATATATTATGTGAGAATGGAGTCCTTATATACATTTTAGAAACCATCCTTACTAAGCAATGAGTCATCACTGGATTGGTAAGATTATGCTTACAAACCAAGCCTTTTGGTGTGCTGAATCAGCTGCTTACTAAAGTACATGAGTAAAATATTACAAAGCATGACGAATCATGACAAAACATGATGAGTCATGGAAAGTCCTTACAAATCAGAATATTACCAGTCACATGACATGCTTACAAACATATCTGAGTGGCTCACTGATGTAATTAAGTGGCTGAATAAACATGAACAAATAATGGAAAGAGACAGAAACTACAAATACAACTAAATAAATAGAAACAAAGCTTATGTAAGTAAGAAGTATATCCTTTGTACACTCCTCTACTTATCTCCTTTTATACTGCTATTTGTATATGTCATGGTATGAACTCCATACCATGCATGACAGCGCTGAGGAGACTGGTTTTGGTGCAGCAGTGCAGCCCGCCACTGCAACTGCTGGTGGATGGGATGATGGAGCAGAACGAGGTGCCAAGGGTGCAGCTGGTTTCAAATACAAAGTCGACTTGGATGAGAAAGTCTGATGCCCCGATGGGGGTGGCATCACAGAACTGGGATGTGTGCTTGCTTACATCTGCTTTAACCTTTGAATGACTTGAGATTGCTTGCTGCGGTTGCACGATCAGTAGTAGTAAAGATGATACCAGCCTTAAGTGTACTTCACTGATGGTTGATTTGTGCATGACTCATCTGATTGTTTCAACTTTTTTGCCATTACAGGCCCAGGTGAGCACTGAACTGAAACCGAGAGCGGCCACGGTCTTCAATATAGACATGAGAAGAGAGAGACAATGCAGATGCCTCTGGGTATGTGCTTAGAGCCTCAATCTTTCGCTTCTTTGAAGAGACATCATCCTGAGAATCGGAGCGCAGAGAAGGGTCTATAAAATAGTCTGACTCGTACTGATGTTGACAACCGAGTGGCTTGTTGGAAAGATGAGGGGATCGTTCAGACTCCAAATCAGAGTGAGGGGTAACAGGTGAAGTGAAGCTTGATGCATCAGCTTCGTCTGAAGTACCAGTTGTCATATCAGGTGGAAAGACATATTGCGGCTCCTCATAAGCCTGAGGAGCAGCGTTCAAAAGGTCACCAAGACGCACTGATTATTGGTACAGTCAGTCCTCAATACAACATACAAATTAAAGAAACCTACTACTCAACAAGGATCTTTGTGCTCTGATGTGCTCTGTGAGTTGAATGTACGCGCTTGCAGAGTCCAGACTGCAGTGCGGTAAGTCAGTAGTACTACAAGCTTAATTGGGAACCCCACATGCACGGAGTTTGAAACTACCTTTGCTCCTGACTTCCATGCAACGACGACATCCGCATTCTGGCAACGTCAACTAGTACATCACAGCTACAAAGTGAGTGTACTCAACCATCCTTTCAAAATCATTTGATGACTGACAAGCCCACCCGGAAGAAGCACTGGGGGTTGAAGCTGAAGCTGCGTTGTTCAGAACTCATTCGGCAGAGGAGATGGAAGCCAGTGAAAGTGAGGTATTGAACATCTTCGCGTGTTCCATGTGTGATATAACTGCCGCAGGATTCTGCACTGCTTACCACTCCCACTACCGAACCAAATCCTGGCCAGTCTTCAGTCTTCAAGCTTCCATTCAGCCATTGCAACAGTAAGTCCAACTTTCTTATCTCCCCCGGATAGTGTACTAATCTCTGTCATCAGTCCGAAGCAATCAACGACCCAGAATCCACTCCAATATGATCAACAAAATGTACATGCTTCAATCTTTATTTTGTGCCTGGCTGACCTTCGTGCATAGCTCCATCTGTATGCGAAGGTGGCATTATGTTTCTTCACTTGGGTGTCAAAGGTACGCTTGTTGACCTATCCTTACATTTCACAAGCTAATCAGAATGTGGCAGATGATTCTTGATCAGAGAGATCACAATGATGCTGTTTCCCATCTGCTCTCAAAGGTCATGCCGATTTCATCATCCATTACTCGGACACGAAGAATTTCTGTGAGTCGTTCCTACCACTTCGTCACCCGAGACTCACCCACTCTGTATAGGGAAAAGACTTGGCAAGGATGTCGCCAACGAAACGGATGCTGCGATTCAGAGCTGGGAGTACGGGTATGGGTTGGTGTCTGCACACCGTGGGTTTGCCCCTGTTGATCGCGAGTATACGAGTCTGTTAGCATCTATATAGACATGCATCATGTATCTAGCACTGAGGAGTGGGCGCGAGTATTAAATAGCATTGATTCATCTGGTATTTTAATGCCCTAGCTAGCAGAAGCTCAAGCGGCCGCACGTGCAGGATCGAGGCACTATAATAATCATTATATATATATTATATATCAATAGAGGTATATATGTAATATACGAATATTAAACCTCGCAAGGTCGCCCTATCGAGGATAGGCCATGGTTTCAGCTGGTGTTGACGAGAGGGCGAAACCTTGACTGCTACATGGAGGGAATGCGACAAAACCGCCATGTCGACGCCGGTGTCCAACGAAGGCGCTGACGTGGCTGAGACCTAACCCTAGGGTCAGGTTCTGCCCTCGTTTCAGACGGCTGAAAATTTTGATAACACGCAGTGTGTGGTACAAGACAAGATGGACATCGTTTAATTGAAAATGTTCAACGACGACACAAAAGTAGATCTTGAAGGGAGGCGTACTTGTTGACAGGAAGTATGAAATGTATCGGGCATTAGATCCCCGATTTTGCTTTATCTAGATTGAGAGGATTCTCAGTCACGCTGAGTGGGTCGATCAGATAGGCTAGATAAGGTTTCGATTAAAAATGATACCAATCGAGAAAGATCATCAGATTACACGCACCTTGTGGTACAAGACAAGAATGGACGTCGACATCATTTACAATTAAATGTTCAATGACGACACAAAAGTCTTGAAGGAAGGCGTACGTACTTGTTGACAGGAACTGCGAAATGTATCGGGAATCAGATCCCCGATTTTGCTATCACTCCAAGGTTTTGCGGCTGGCTTCTGTTTGCTTTATCTAGATCGAGAGGATTCTCAGTCACGCCATACGACAGAGTTTGGCTTAGAACGTACATGTTTGGTTCAACGTGTGCCTGGGAAGCCATTGGAGTGGCCTATGTAGTCTCTGAATGGACTCGTCGCTGGTGGTCCTTCTCCACGCTGTCTACCGTCGATGGCACTTGTGAGTCGAGCCCTTCCTAAATGACTGAGGGTCGTGGATAAGAGCGGAGCCGGCCAGACACATGTCCACCTCATATCATCCATCTGGGCGGCAGAGACCAGCAGAGAATCGGGCCGTGAAGAATGGAAGATCCATCAGGGCCGGGTGTGTGGAACGCAATGTGAAAGTTCCGTGAACCAGGAAAGTAAAAGCATCGTGTCTGAGCTCACACAGCTGATAGCCCGAGAATTACACATGCATTTAACTAATTCTCCGACCATCGTCTGTCTGAGCACAAAGAACAATAAAGGGAAATGCCGGTGATCACAGAATGATGCGTCGTGTTTGTATCATAGGGAAAGTAGCACGTCTGTCAGCGTGAGGCATCGAACGAGAGTGCGACATGAATACAACTGTTGACACTATCGTCATTGATCACTGGTACCGAGTAGCATGTAGAAGCTCAGATAGCTAGTAACATAACGGTCCTGCCCATCCATCTGGACCAGTCGGTGGACTCGGGCGAATGGAGTACAAGGGGGAAGTTCTATTTTTGAAAATGAAGATTCGCGGAAGCCCAGATGGTTGATGGAGCAGAGATTCTGCTTCGAATGCCTGACCCATCATCTATCTGGGCTATCCGTATGGATGAACTACGAAGGGAAAATAGGTGGGTTCCAGAGAGTCAGAGCATATCCTAGACGAAAGTTCGTAGAAATGCTTACCTTGAGTGTAGAAATACATGGTTTGATCAATAGATGGGCTGATCGTTCTCAGGTGGGGTCGGGATAAAGTCTAGGTCTAGACTCAGATCAATAATTAAGCGAGTCTCGCCACAAGTGAAGGAGAGGAATGTTTAGGACTGGAAAATGTGCGAACAATAAACACGAGGAGCGGCACTACAAATACATCTTTGCGCGTATCTCCCAAATAACCTTGCGCGCAGGGAGTCTTAAAGAATAATTAATATTTTGATTTCCCCAGAAAATGAGAAAGATGGACGTACATAGGTTGGTAAAGTGAAAGAAGGACTGAAGACCGAGAGTATATAAGTACTTCTGGTATGTAAAAATGTAACGGACGCTACATGCGCTCAAGGATGGCGAACGCATGAGTGCTGCTGCATCGACGTTCAACCTAGCATATGGCGTTGAGAGTAGTGGAACAGGGTAAACAACTTACAGCTGGCCAAAACTGGACGCTCTAAATAAGTCGCCTCCAACACCACTGCCATTTTTTGGGGGTGCAG